ACGTTTTAAACTATACATGTTGTTAAGGTTGCATAATTATATTCACGTACATGTAACAGTGTTATCTATGTATTTAAATTGCTACTTAAAATGTAGGTTCCTCAAAACTGATAGGGTACGTATTGTACTATTACATTTATTCAACGTGGGAAGGAAAATGCATTTACATGGAGGACTTGTACGTATCCCCGGAGTACAGAGGAAGGGGCATTGGATCTAAGTTAATGGGATCTGTTTGTAAGGTAAGTCACAAAGAAACACTCCTACATGTAGAACCATAAACAATGCATGTACAATGCATCTACACTCTATCGACTATGGCACCTCGTTGTTTAGCTACATGTATTAACAATAATATAATTAAAATATCACAATTGTAGACGGCTGTAGAGAAAAAATGTGCCAGAGTCCACTTTGCGGTGCTTGGTTGGAATACACCTTCCATTGATTATTACAAACGTCAAGGTGCCATTGATTTAACGGAAGAAGAAGACTGGCACTTGTTCCGATTAACCGGAAGTGCCATCGAAAAAATGGCAGCAAAATGTGATATATGACAATCTATATGAGAAAGTTTAAAGCCGCTTGGTCCGATTCTAATCGCTAAAAAATATATTCGTTTTTCTTCTTGAAAAATAATTGTCCATAAATTATTTCAACTTTTGTCAAATTATATCCCAAAAGTCTTTTTCTTTTTAAAGATATCAAAATTCAAAAGTTAAAAAAATAATTTTTGTTAGGTCACACAAAAAATAATCCTTTGTTGACATTGAGTGAAGTCACCTTCGAAAAATTAAATTTATCGCTTACATGTATAATTCATGAAGAACAAACCCGAGCATTTTTTCCACAACAAAGTGTACACGGGCAATATTCTAGCCCTCGTTACTAAACCTCTTTTTTAAAAAATCATTAAAAATATCTGATTTTCCTTTATTCTGTAAATATGCATATTAATATAAAAATTACTATGGATTATATTCAATTAATTTCTTAATTTTTAAAAGATATATCATGACTTAGGATTCTACTAATTGAAAAAAAATACTCGGGTTTGAATTCTCTTCATAATTGGATATATCCGATAAAAGTATTTTTTTTTCAAAGGTGACTTAAAAACAGATCTTAACTTACCGTCAGGAACTGCTGTTTGTCAACAAGGTTTTTGGTCTATGTTTTCCATGTAAGGATTGTTGTAATAAACTATTTAATCAATCTTATAACTAATTTTTATATATTATCTATGTAATGACATACTTTTATTGCTTAAGATAATATGTGCCTGTTTCGGATGAAGCGGCTTTAAAATCACAAAATGTCTATATTAAAAATACGAGCTTCTGTGGCCTTAACTAAAACACCCGAGAAACATGACTTTACACGAGAATGTTCACCACCCGAGGATGCCAAATCCATAATGATAAAAAATTATGTAAAATAATGGGCGGAGCTTTCTGATTTTAGTCAATTTAAAGCCTGATCGAGTTTGAAATAGCACAATCTAGGTGATATATAGAATACCTTTTAAGAAGTGCATCTTCATGTATCACATGTATCAGAGGAGGGAGCTTGTCCCCCTGAAGATGTACGAGTTAAAAAGTACTCTGTTTTTATCATTGTTCCCAGGAATTAAGTTACCCATAATCTATCACTTTCACATTGATAGCATGTTGTTGAACTGTATTCCCACGCGCTGAGTTAGCCATGATATATCAAATTCCATTATACAATTTTATATCCAATGAAAAAGGAGCGCGGGATTCGAAAAGTTAAGCGCGCCGTATTTCTTGAACTCTAGGTGATTCTCTAAATTACTGGATGCCGCGATGTGTGTTGGAATTAATAAAACAAGACGCTCTGAATATCCACCTCATTTCCTGTACTTTATTATGTGTTGTGTGTTACGATTCAAGTTTATGAGAGTCCAAAATATTGCCACGTGTGAATTCCATTTTGAATTAAAAATTCGACGTTCAAAATTCAAAAAATATATATATGTGTTAGAAAAGGCATACCTTCACTACTGATCGATTTTATACCTTATAGAGTTGGCTACTTTGTTTACTTTTTTAGCTCACCTGAGCCGAAGGCTCAAGTGAGCTTTTCTGATCAAAATTTGTCCGTCGTCTGTCGTTGTCGTTGTTGGCGTTGTCGTTGTCGTTGTCGTAAACTTTTCACATTTTCATCTTCTTCTCAAGAACCACTGGGCCAATTTCAACCAAACTTGGCACAAAGTATCCCTGGGTAAAGGGGATTCAAGATTGTTCAAATAAAGGGCCACGCCCTCTTCCAAGGGGAGATAATTATGAATTTGTGAAAAATTATTAGCATTTTTAAAAAAATCTTCTGATGAAGAACCACTGGGCCAGGAAAGATGAAACTCATGTGGAATCATCCTCAGGTAGTGTAGATTCAAGTTTGTTCAAATCATGACCCCCGGGGCTAGGGTGGGGCCAAAATGGCCGACCAAAGTTTTACATAGGAATATATAGGAAAAATCTTTAAAAATCTTCTTCTGAAGAACCACTGGGCCAGGAAAGATGAAACTCATGTGGAATCATCCTCAGGTAGTGTAGATTCAAGTTTGTTCAAATCATGACCCCCGGGGCTAGGGTGGGGCCAAAATGGCCGACCAAAGTTTTACATAGGAATATATAGGAAAAATCTTTAAAAATCTTCTTCTCAAGAACCACTGGGCCAGGAAAGATGAAACTCATGTGGAATCATCCTCAGGTAGTGTAGATTCAAGTTTCTTCAAATCATGACCCCCGGGGCTAGGGTGGGGCCAAAATGGCCGACCAAAGTTTTACATAGGAATATATAGGAAAAATATTTAAAAATCTTCTTCTGAAGAACCACTGGGCCAGGAAAGATGAAACTCATGTGGAATCATCCTCAGGTAGTGTAGATTCAAGTTTATTCAAATCATGACCCCCGGGGCTAGGGTGGGGCCAAAATGGCCGACCAAAGTTTTACATAGGAATATATAGGAAAAATCTTTAAAAATCTTCTTCTTAAGAACCACTGGGCCAGGAAAGATGAAACTCATGTGGAATCATCCTCAGGTAGTGTAGATTCAAATTTGTTCAAATCATGACCCCCGGGGCTAGGGTGGGGCCAAAATGGCCGACCAAAGTTTTACATAGGAATATATAGGAAAAATCTTTAAAAATCTTCTTCTTAAGAACCACTGTGCCAGGAAAGTTGAAAGTTATGGGGAAACGTCCTCAGGTAGTGTAGATTCAAGTTTCTTCAAATCATGACCCCCGGGGCTAGGGTGGGGCCAAAATGGCCGACCAAAGTTTTACATAGGAATATATATAGGAAAAATCTTTTAAAAATCTTCTTCTGAAGAACCACTGGAATTGGAAAAATGAAACTCATGTGGAATCATCCTCAGGTAGTGTAGATTCAAGTTTCTTCAAATCATGACCCCCGGGGCTAGGGTGGGGCCAAAATGGACGACCAAAGTTTTACATAGGAATATATAGGAAAAATCTTTAAAAATCTTCTTCTTAAGAACCACTGTGCCAGGAAAGATGAAACTTATGGGAAAACATTGTCAGTTAGTGTAGATTCAAGTACCTTCAAATCATGACCCCCGGGGCTAGGGTGGGGCCAAAATGGCCGACCAAAGTTTTACATAGGAATATATAGGAAAAATATTTAAAAATCTTCTTCTCCAGAACCACTGGGCCAGGAAAGATGAAACTCATGTGGAGTCATCCTCAGGTAGTGTAGATTCAAGTTTGTTCAAATCATGACCCCCGGGGCTAGGGTGGCGCCAAAATGGCCGACCAAAGTTTTACATAGGAATATATAGGAAAAATCTTTAAAAATCTTCTTCTTAAGAACCACTGGGCCAGGAAAGATGAAACTCATGTGGAATCATCCTCAGGTAGTGTAGATTCAAGTTTGTTCAAATCATGACCCCCGGGGCTAGGGTGGGGCCAAAATGGCCAACCAAAGTTTTAAATAGGAATATATAGGAAAAATCTTTTAAAAATCTTCTTCTTAAGAATCATTGAGAAAGGAAATATGAAACTTAAATGAAATTATCCTTAGGTAGTGTAGATTCAAGTTTGTTCAAATCATGACCCCTGGGGCTAGGGTGGGGCCAAAATGGCTGACCAAAGTTTTACATAGGAATATATAGAAAAAAATCTTTAAAAATCTTCTTCTCAAGAACCACTATGCCAGGAAAGATGAAACTCATGTGGAATCATCCTCAGGTAGTGTAGATTCAAGTTTCTTCAAATCATGACCCCCGGGGGTAGGGCATGGGGCCAAAATGGCTGACCAAAGTTTTACATAGGAATATATAGGAAAAACTTTTAAAATCTTTTTCTCAAGAACCTTTGGGCCAGGAAAGACGAAACTTATGTGGAATCATCCTCAGTTAGTGAAGATTCAAGCTTGTTCAAATCATGACCTCTGGGGCTAGTTTTGGGCCGAAAATGGCTGACCAAATTTGTACATAAGGATATATAGGGAAACCTTTTAAAATCTTCTTTTGAAGTACTTCAAAGCCATGATTAGTGATATTTTTCTATTTATATGGAATCATCCTCAGGTAGTGTAGATTGTACTTTGTTCAATTCATGACACCCAGGAGGGTTAAAATTCAAGCCCCCCCCCCCGGTTAACTTTCAGTTTTGATCTGATATGTGCTTTTTCCTAGAAGTTGTGCTCAGGTGAGCGATGTGGCCCTTGGGCCTCTTGTTTTCTTATTCAGTGTAAGATCATGGCTCATTAGAATTGTTGCATTAATCACCCTGACGTGCTCGATCTTTATAGAGCATGGTTGTTAGATCACAATTTGTAATGATGTATCAAAAATAAAAACACAGTGGTCTTCAAATGAAAAATACTGCAACAATATTTTTCAAAACCTCTTTCTTTACGCCATAGGAAATATATAACAGCGTTCAAGGAATAATTTACGCAGTTAAATATGCAATATTTTGAATCTACAAGTGATGTTAATCAAACAGGGAGACTTTAGAACTTTTACACAACTTTTATTGAAAACTGATAGCATCAAAATACGCATACATGACTTTTCAACACTTTATACAACTTTTAGTCACGATTATCCCTGTTCACACAGAGCTGTGACTTTACGACAATTACCCCGATCAAGCCACGATCTGAAAAAGTTTTGGATCGGAGCCGATCGAAATAGAGCAATTTGGCATATTATTGTCTTCACTGCGATCGTACTATGATGCCTCTACGTCAAACGCGCTGCTAACACGCTTCTGCTAAGATGTTACGCAGTCCGCTGTCGACCAGCGGCCGCGTTTTCTGAGTTTACGCTACGCTGCCACTACGACATTCTACGACGCTTCACAGACCTAGATGACTGTACGACGATATCGCTTCGATAGTGCCGATCTTATCATGATTGTATTACTCTTCCAGTACGACTTTGGCGATGATGTATAAAAATCTTGGGTTTGAAACATATTTTTGTAACGTAGTAATAAGTGGGAGCGTTGTAGGAGCACACTTGATAAGTTCCCAACTGCACTACGATTTTACTACGATTAGGAGGATCTAACGAAAATCACGAAAATAGCTCCACGATGCTTCCGCGCTTTTTGTACGATTACTTCGCTTCTAATGCGTTCTTTTTACGAATTACCCCGATTCTTGTTGGCCACGATCCCGCTACGCTTGTTTTGAGCATGTTCAAACTAAGAGTGGCAAAAGCGTACAGCTCTCCGATCATAAAGACCCTACCGCGAACATAGTGCGCTTTTGAATTTCTACTGCTGTTTGTCACGATCGGTCACGCTTTGATCGTAGTAGAAGCGGCGTTTCTGTGTGAACGGGGGTTTAAGCTTTAATAAAATTTAAAACTTTTTGACATCATGGATAACTACTTCATCAATAAAAGTCAATCTCGGAATTTTTTATGTCTTGTGATGAGTCATCTGCAAATTTACTTTAATTTCTAAAATTACAGAATTAATAAGGTATTAAAGAACAAGAGGCCCAGGGGCCACAGCGCTCACCTGAGAACATCGGCTAGGAAAAAGCACATATCAGATAAGAACTGAAAGTTTACTGAGATGGGGGGGAGGCTTAAATTTTAACCCCCCAGGGAGTCATGATTTGTACAAACTAGAATCTACACTACCTGAGGATGATTCCATATAAATATAACAATCGTGGCTTTGAAGTACTTGAAAAGAAGATTTTAAAAGGTTTCCCTATATATTCCTATATAAAACTTTTTTGGCCCCAACCTACCTCCGGGGGGTCATGTTTTGAACAAACTTGAATCTACACTACCTGAGGATGATTCCACACGAGTTTCATCTTTCTTGGCCCCGTGGTTCTTTAGCAGAAGGCTAAGATTTTTTCTATATATTCCTATGTAAAACTTTTAACGGCCATTATAGCCCCACCCTAGCCCCGGGGGTCACGATTTGAACAAACTTGAATCTACACTGCCTGAGGATGATTTCACATGAGTTTTATCTTTTCTGTCTCCATGGTTCCTCAGAAGAAGATTTTTAAAGATTTTTCCTATATATTCCTATGTAAAACTTTAATCGGCCATTTTGTCCCCACCCTACACCCGGGGGTCATGGTTTAAAGAAACTTGAATCTTCACTACCTGATGATAATTCCACATGAGTTTCATCTTTCCTGACCCAGTGGTTCTTGAGAAGAAGATTTTTAAAGATTTTTCCATATATATATTCCTATGTAAAACTTTAATCGGCCATTTTGGCCCCATCCTAGCCCAGGGGGTCATGATTTGAACAAACTTGAATCTACACTACCTGAGGATGATTCCACATGAGTTTCATCTTTTCCTGGTCCAGTGCTTCTTGAAAAGAAGATTTTTAAAGATTTTTCCTATATATTCCTATGTAAAACTTTGGTCGGCCATTTTGGCCCCACCCTAGCCCCGGGGGTTCATGATTTGAAAAAACTTGAATCTGCACTACCTGAGGATGATTTCACATGAGATTCATCTCTCTTGGCCCAGTGGTTCTTGAGAAGAAGATTTTTCCTATATATTCCTATGTAAAACTTTGGTCGGCCATTTTGGCCCCACCCTAGCCCAGGGGTCATGATTTGAACAAACTTGAATCTACACTACCTGAGGATGCTTCCACATGAGTTTCATCTCTCTTGGCCCAGTGGTTCTTGAGAAGATTTTTTAAAAATGCCATTAATTTTTCACTAATTCATAATTATCTCCCCTTGGAAAAGGGCGTGGCCCTTCATTTTAACAAACTTGAATTCCCTTCACCTAAGGATACTTTGTGGCAAGTTTGGTTGAAATTGGCCCAATGGTTCTTGAGAAGAAGATGAAAATGTGAAAAGTTTATGCCGACGCCGACGACAACGACGACGACAGACAACGGACAAATTTTGATCAGAAAAGCTCACTTGAGCCTTTAGCTCAGGTGAGCTAAAAAGGTGTCTGAATTCCTCATTGACTTTATCCATGTATCAATTTAGTTTTTGAAGGCTAGGTTTATAGTTATGTCTAGGTTCACCAAATGCTCTACAAGGACCTTATCTTTACTCCTTACAAAATAAAAAAGAAACTTCAGACGTTATCGTTTCCTTTCTGCATTTGGGCTAGTAACTCTTTACTTGGGATAGTGATTTTATTGCTGCAACTAACCCGAGGGCTAAGTGCTTGAAATTGCTTTTAATATACCCCCGCAACAATGGCAGCTAAAATTGTAATATCGACAGCATTACTTAAAGAATGTACCCTCAGACCAAGATATTTTCTCGCTAAAGGAAGCCCTTTTCCATCACATCCGTTTTAGGTATGTGCTGCAGCTATAATCAAATCCCCGGATTTCCATTCTGTTATCCATATCTTGTCCTCACTATCCACAGATATGGCCGCTGGAAGTGTTATATCACCAGTAAGTAAATACCTAAAGAATGTACCGTCACTATCAAGCAGATGAATGGTATTGTTTTTACTGTCTGATATCAAAATATTGCTCCGGCTATCGGTTGCAATTCCTGTGGGTAAAAAACTTTGAATATTATGCCCTCCAACACCATTGTAAGCAAACCTGAATTTTCCTTCCGAGTCTGTAACTACAACCTTTCCACATGCATTTTGTCGATGATCAATGACACAAATGTCTTTATTTCTATTTTCTACAATCTGTTGGGGGTTATGAAAAAGTTTGATTTTACGGAAATCGATATCGTAAAATTCTGTCGACATCCTTTCCATACCTTGCATATCATACTTCACAATTTTACCTCGCTTTTCTTTTTCGCAATATGAGCAAGTTATGACTTCATTGGAAAGTACACATGCCAAATCTTCGACTCTCCACTCTTCTTTTTCAGTCATGAAGGCTACGCTCTGACTCCCTTTACAACGGAAGATTTTGTTGCTGGTCCAATCAATGTAAAACAAGTCTCCAGTATTTGAAATAGAAAATCGTTTAGGTGGAGAATGCAGAAGATATTTTCCATGCGAAAAACTATTCAAACTAAGATCATATTCTTGAAGCATTCCAGAACGGTCCACGGATACACAGCGGGTGGGGCTTAGACAAACAATTGCCATCCCATTTGTAGTGGAAGGTACTTTACGTAAAATACAGGTACTGTTTGGTGAATTAAGATAATCACATGATTTAATATTGTAATCATCGAACGCTTTTGAAGGCGCCAATCCTATCCTTCCAAATGAAATTGTCATATTAATATCAATATTTTCTTCGCAATATGCTGGCTGATAAATAGTTCCAATTTTCGGGACTGATCGTAAAGTTTCTACCTTTCTAGAAGCAAACGAAATTTTCCTTGGATCTTGCAATCGGAAAGGATCTTTCAAAATATTGGAGTTTTCAAGTACAATTTGATCTATTTGTATCATTCTACCGTTGAAATTTGCTATGTGTTTATTAAGTAACAGTGATTGCTCATCTTTCACATTTTGCAACTGATGCAACAATTTATCAGCAAGTTTTATAATAACACAATGCCATTTTTTTGCTGTTTCTAAAATAGCGCGTTTTACTTCAGAGTATTTAGGTGTGTTGAGTTCATCTCGCAGCTGTTTCACAATATCTTCATAATAAGGTTTGATATCCTTTAAAAGCACCTCGTTTTCCTTTTGAAGATGATTAATTGTAGCTTTAATATAATTGGGGAGAGTTTTAATAACATGCATATGATGGTTAAGTCCACATTCTTCACAGGCATATTGTCGACATGTTTTGCAGTAAAAAATCCCCTCAATTTCTTCATGATTGCTGCAACTATTGATCCATTTTTTGTTTTCATCCCTCCTCTGTTTGAAATTAACTATGCAATGTAAATTTTCCTGCTTTAAATGCTCTGCTACACATTCGGCACAAATACCAATTTTGCAAAGCTTGCAAAAATACTGTAAAGGTTGGGTACATATTTCACAGGGCTTTACTCTCTGAGCTTTCATGGTCTGTGTGCTGTCCCACAGTACAGAACTGAAACAAAAGAAAACAAGATGTTTTGTGAAACACTGATGCCCCCGTATGGCAACATAATGAAGATTAAACTTTTCTTAGATGCAAAGTTAATATATTGGTACACAAAGTAGGGTCTCCTAACTGGAAATACAACTGTAAAACATGAAAGCCTGATCACCATCTGTTCCCAAGTTGTGGCCAGGCAAAAGTTTTTTCATAAGTACATAAATCTTCAAGATCCACATCAGAAGGTCAAGGTTATTGGTATCCAATGAAAGGTCTCTCCACAAAGATAACATATTTGAAGTATAAAAGCCCTAGCCCTAACCATACAAAAGTTATGGCCAAGGTTAAAAAGTGGGCAAAACTCCAAGATCAAGGTCAGAAGGTCAATGTTTTTGGTATTGAATGAAAGGTCTTGTCACAAATATTATATATGTGGATTATGAAAGCCCTAGCCCTTACTCTTCAAAAGTTATTGCCAATGTCAATGTTTTTTCATAAGTCCAGAAATCTCCAAGGTCAAGGTCAAAAGGTCAAGGTTATTGGTATCCAATAAATGCTCTTGCTACAAAGAATACATATGTAAAGAATTGAAGCTCTAGTTCTAACCGTTCAAAAGTTATGACCAAGGTTAAGATTTTTAAAAAATGAGGTCAAATTCTAAGGTCAAGGTCAAAAGGTCAAAGGTCTCGATATCAAATGAAATATCTTGTCACAAGGATTAAATATAAAAAGTATGAAAGCATTAGCTTTTACCCTTTAAAAGATATGGTCAAGATTTATTTTTTGAAAGTAGGTCAAACTCCAAAGTCAAAAGGTCAAAGCTTTTGGTATCCAATGAAGTGTCTTCTTACAAGGATTACTTATGTGAAGTATGAAAGCTCTAGCCTTTACCGTTCAAAAGTTATTGCCAAGGTTAAAAGTTTTTTCATTTGTATGTAAATCACCAAGGTCATGGTCAAAATGGTCAAGGTTAGTGGTATCCAGTAGAAGGACTTGCCACAAAGAATATATATTTAAAGTATAAATGACCTGGTATTTTACTGTTCAAAAGTTATGGCCAAAGTAAAACTTTGAATTTTTTGTGTAAAAGTGGAACAAATTCCAAGGTCAAGGTCAAAAGATCAAATTTGGTGGTACCCAAAGAAAGGTCTTGTCACAAGGAATACACATGTGAAACATGAAAGTCACAGCTCCACTAAATCAAAAGTTATGTACAAGGTTAAAGTTTTTGTAGACAAACAGAGCGACAGACAGACGGACACGACAAAAACTATATATCCCCCCGAAACTTCGTTCACGGGGGCCTAAAAATTTGGTATAAGAATCAATTAACAAACAAAAATAGTCAAAGTGACTCACATATAAAAAAATAATCAAAATTATGGCAAGTACTGGTTTCAATACATTAAAAAAAAATTGTCAAGACCTTCTGAAGTTTAACACCATAAACCGAGCCAAATACTGACAATATAAACTTTGCATGCAGACAAAGAGTGATTTAATTCTTAAATATACACATTGTACTGAACTAAAAGACTAGGTGTAAGTAACGTGATCATGGTGATCAACAGTACTAGTAAACCATCTAAATCACTTCCGTTTGAAATAAAATCAATAAAAAATATAGAATTCATGAGACGCATCTCAGCTGCTGAATTCACAGTCACTAATGTTAATATACTTACACTGTGATCAGCTACACAAAAAAACATGAACGCATATTGCTTCGCCGAATGCTCATTCTCTGCAGCACGTGGGTAACGTCAGGTATGGAAGCCCTGGTGGAACGGTCTGTAAAACATGATGAAAGGAATAACATCTCAGACTAATAAGTTTAAATACATAGACTGCAAAGCATATTTCACATTGAAAAAACTCAACAATATAAATCTTAGTAAAAATGGTAATTGCGTTGCTTTAATCATCTATACCTACATATGTTACATCAAACAGCTCAGAGGCAGGGATGGTGTCGATTACTTTCAAAAGTAATCGATTAAATTACAATTACTTTGAATTTTAAAAGTAATCGATTACAAGCTGATTACAGACATTTTTTTAAAGTAATCAATAACATCTGATTACTTTTCCTTCGTGTAATCATGATTACTTATGATTACTTTAGATTACATAAAGTTTTTTTTTTGCTTAATTTTCATGTTTTTATTCTTCTTTCTTTATATATCATTAATATTTTAAGGTAAAATTCAGACTAAGTTTAGTGGTAAATGTCTTTATATAGATGCATGGGATTTATCTTATATAATTTATTAATATTATTATTAAGAATTTATTAATAATTTATTAATATTATTATTTATAAATCAAACTGGACATAATTATAGTTTGGGATAAAGGGATTCGATGGAGAACTTTTACACAAGTAATTGACCTTCTTGATTAGTAAAGAACTTTTCAATTAAGCTGCCAATTATTAGATATTTTAACTAGAATTAACACATTGACTGGACAAGCATGGAAAGTTCAATAATTGTTATTGCCCAAGCTGACCTAACTTATGTATACCTGTGTTTTATCACTAATCAATTCACATTATCTTTTTATGTACATTGTAAACCAAACAAAATAATTTTTAGAACACACATCTCAATAAAGGAACACTTTTCTTTAAATACATGTTAATTCAAAGATTTATTGGGAAGGAACAGAATGTTGCAATACACAGAATCACATGTTTTGAAATTGAAACAAAAAAAACAAACTTCAAAATGATTATGTACTAGATGATTATGTGTGACTGTCCGTCTAGTGTCTAAAAATAACAACAACCTCATTCACACAAAGTTTTTCATACCACATTCTCACATATATACGCAGCGCAAGTACATATAGCATTGATAATACATAACCCTGGTTACAAGTATATACACGTACATATCTAGTCAAAAATGGCTAATTGCTAAGCTGCTAAAGTATTTTGAAATGTCTACTTAAAATAGCTAAGAAATGATAGAAATTACTCATTTCCTTGACAATGGACTTAGTTATATCTGTAAGCATTAGAAGAAGATACCTAACTAAGTATAGCTTATAATTTAATCATAATTTTTGTTAATAAACAAAGAGCAAGAGCCAAGTTGGGCTTTATTTGTCCCCGAGAATTTCTGAATAATCAAAACTGATCATTTTAGGCTGCAAATGCAGTATTTGTCACTTGGAGTGTTAGTGACCACGTATCTATTAATTGTGACGTAATTTCCCATCTAGTCAATGCATTATGACGTCATAAAATGCGTCATTTTCCTCATATCCTGTAAATTCCTTGATATAAAAACTAATTCAAAGATTTTTTGTCATTCGAAGGAAAAACGAAGAGCATGCGCGGATCAAGGAGGGGGTTCAATAGGGGAACACTTTAAGAAGAGCAGACAGTACCGTAAGGAGTTATGGTATAAAATTTCATTGAAAAACTAAAAAGCTGCTTGAAATTTTGCGTGAAATTAAGTTTTTTGAGACACAGAAAATGTATGAATTTACAACCTTTACGTGTGACCTAAAAATAAACAGGGGTCTTCTATAAACCAAGGGAGTTGTGGTATCAAAAGTCATTGTAAAAGCTCAAAGGTTTCTCGAGATATCGCGCGGAAAGAATAGCGAATATAATTAGTAGTACCCTATAGGCCATTAATCGACCGTCGTGCCGATAGACACTTCTATCCTTATCAGATTAATATTTATTTTCAATGCATACTTAGTTTCTCTATCTATAAAATTATGTCTACGTTATTTCTAACTTGCAGAGCGAAATCTAGATGAACAACAAGAAATCTGTGAGCCAATGCTTACTAGTAATATCCCCGTTCTGATGTAAATAAACACTATCATGTTATTGTTAATATACATAATTTCAATTACAGGCAGATGCTCAGAAAAATTTGAAGTTGACATCAGATTTATATCAAAATTAATCCCACCATATGGCATGCCTAAACATAGAGGGTACTAAAATTAAGCATCTGCTATGGATAGTTAATGAGAAAACTGCAATGAAGATTTGTTATATATGAAACGGACAGACACACAGACAAACAGGAAGTTGATACAAGATTTTAACAAAAATGTATCCCACCAAATGACATGCCTCAGAAAAGATTGTGTTATAATTTCAAGCATCTGCGATGAATAGTTGCTGAGAAAACTGCGACGAAAAATTGTTAAGGACAGACACACGGACACACAGACAGGCACACACACAAGGGTAAAAGTGCATACCCCCCTCTCCTTCGGAGCGGGGTATAAAAATTGTTTTGCTTAAATGCAAAGATATGTATTTATAAAGTCAAGTCCGAGTCCTATTATTTTACATATTGATGACACGTACACTTTATTACTTTTCTTGATTCTTTGTCTTATACCCCATTCATACGACATGATTTGCATACCTCAGTATATTTTACTCATATGTAAATTTACTCACATGTGCAATTTTTGTCGTATGAACAGATTTGCTCACATGTAAATTCTGCACAGTTGAGAAAATTTACACCTGGTCAGGACTAGGTGCAAATTAACTTTTGCATACATGTTGTCGCAAATTATTAGTTCTTGTGAGTAAATTTTGTCGTATGAACACGCAGCAAATTTACTTATGTATGTATTTTGTTTTGTTTATTGAATAAATCTACATTTTAAGTGTTGTTTCGGTTGTTTATACATTGTTAAGTGTATAATATCAGTCTGTCAACATGGCGGCTAGAAAGCAAAAGAAAAAAAAAACTGGATTTTTTAATGGCCATCTTTGCTGTACATGTACTTCAAGGACAACTGAATGTAAAAATTAAGAGTTTTGATAAGGGTAGTGCTTAAAAGGATACGCCGGGTTGTACTAGCATAGATCTTTCAAGAAATGGCTTTTTCAACTCTGAAAACAGGGATCCACACTATATCTCCAGTCCCCCCTGAGATAAACTTGAATTTGCAAAAACGTGCGCATCTTGCACCCTTTCTGGCAAACCTATGATTATGCCTCTAAATTATAAAATCAGAGTACTCAGAAGTACAGAGAGCCGGGCTCATTGACAGAGTAGAATGAATTTCTTACATGGATCACATTTATGTTCTGATGAAAAAATTATTTTAAAACTACATGTGTATCGATATAAATGATAAGACACTGACAGTGAGTTAGTTTTCCAATCCTAATACCACGGTCCGATTTTGTCAGAATCAGGTACTGTAGCTGAATGTAAACAAACAGGCCAGTCTGATTTCCCTCTCCTGCTTTACCTCGTATGTGTAGAGAACTACGATAATACTGATTATGAAAAATCCTTACGCTAATGAACTATGTTCTTTGACTTAGGACTGAAGTTTTCAAAGTCATTATTACTAATGTTAACTTATATAGATAAAACTTAGTTTTATTTTTGTTGCTTTACATTATATAGCGTTTGTATTATCTCAAAAGCGGTTGAGAGTAAGAACTATATTCTTGCACGTAACTTTAAAATGGCGACTATGGGGTTGACTTCCTGCCCTGGACAGGATGACATAAGCCGGAAATTGCTCTTTGAGCAATAAGCCCGGCTAAAAAGCTGTGGTCGCACAAAAATGTGTCCTGCAGGATCAATCAGTAGTCCCCTTACTATTCAAGTATAGTACTGAGTAGTCTTCATGGGAATGCTCCGGAGCTGTGATGGGTACGTATAGGCATTGCATCAATCGGGCGGGCACCATTACAGAATGACTTTCTTCTACCTTTCTTTGATTTTAAACCAAGGCAAGCTACTGACATATAAATTGATGTTACGGGAATTTCAACAACACTGCTGAAAATCAGCATTTTTAAGTATTCCATAATTCATGGGGATTCGTTTTTATTTCCAATTTACATATTTGTTTGTTTTAATTTATTTTTAATCGATTGCCCATTTTATTCTCCTGGAATATATATGTAATATTCAGGTAGATACTTCATAATGAACTCGCAAACTTGATGTACTGTAGATTTCCAAACACCAGAAAGATTTCCAGTCGTCCTTTATTGTGCTGACGACGTCGACCAGTAGTCAGCCATCTTTTTCTTAACACCCAACGGCTCTATAATCTTAAGGACCGAGACCAAAGCATTATCCAACTTCAAACAATGATTTTGATAAATTTTTCTTTATTCGTGTGTAATCTTTTCCTAATAGTTCGGTTTTATCCGTACCAAAAATTAAATGGATAGTATTTCCCCCAAGTTTCTTTGAGGAACATTTAAAAGTTAGTCTTATACCTAAATAGAAAGAAATAACCTTTTTCTATAAAAATCCACAATTTTGAATCTGTGTATCTCCTTATTTTACATGAAAATACAAGGATTTACTTACAGTACATAAATCTCGTCTGAACGCATAGCAAATTAACTTTTACTTACGTGTGTATATTTACTCATATGTAAATTTGCACATATACATGTAAGCAAATTTTCGTCGTATGAATGGGTTATTAGCAAAAGAATTCACTTTATAATGTTGATGACACGGGATTCAGTTGTAGCTTTCCATTGTTTTGCTTAAATGCAAAGATATGTACATGTATTCATAAAGTCAAGTCCGAGTCCTATTATTTTACATATTGATGACACGTATACACTTTATTACTTTTCTTGATTCTTACAGTCTTAGCAAAAGAATTCACTTTATAATGTTGATGACACGGGATTCAGTTGTAAGTTTCTTCGTTTTTGTCCCCCGCTTGAAAAGGGGGGATATTAATTAGGGTTTGTCCGTCCGTCCGTCATTCTGTCTGTCTGTAACGATTTCGTTTCCACACGATATCTCGAGAACCCTTTGCGCTATCGCAATGAAATTTTGCATAGCAACTCCCTATGGACTAAAGAAGAACCCTATAGATTTTGAAGTCAAAAGGTCAAAGGTCAAGGTCATAAATTCGCAAATTATATCTGTATAACACTTTCGTTTCCGCGCGATATCTCGAGAACCCTTTGAGCTTTTGTGATGAAATTTTACATAACAACTCACTGTGACCTAAGGAAGACTCCTATTGATTTTGAGGTCAAAAGGTCAAAGTTCAAGGTCGTAAATTCATACATTCTCTCTGTGTGTAACACTATCCTTTCCGGGAGATATTTCTAAAGGATTTTGAGCTTTTTCAATGTGATTTTATACCAAAACTCCCTAGGACCTCTCTCACTCCTCTCAAAGTGTCCCGCCCTGTTTGTTTTATTTGTATTTATTGTATTAAATGTCGCTATTTTTAGCACAACGGCACGAGGAGAGTTATCACGTATAAAACAGGTTCTCGGCGGACTCTATTAGAACTGTTTAATAAAGGTTAAATAAGACACAATGCATTGTGTAAAATTTTGAACGTGAATATATGTATGTGACTTCATCTTTGCATTGAATTTATAATTTTCCTCAATGTAAAGCAGTTCTGTGGTCTAGTGGTATGTCTCTCGCTTCTCATGCGAGAGGTCCCGGATTCGATTCCCCGACTATTCATTATTCTTTTTTTCCGAAATACCCTTTTTTTTTACTAAATGATAGTATTCTGCATGTGAATTGAAATATTCATGAGGTCTAGCTTATACAAACTCATAGAATCATCATTACAGTGTGATAAATATTTCAATTTTACAAATTCAATGAGGATGATCCGATGGTTTACTTTTTCCCTAAGCGGGGGACACAAATTCTCTGAATTAGCTTGTTCGAATTATAATAAATTTTCTCACGTTAGACAAGCCTCTTAGATAAACTAATACTGTTTGTTTATTATGTGAAGTATCAACTTCATCAAGGAAAAAAAACAACTCTACCTGTTCCTTACCGATCATATAGACGCTTGTCTTTTAACTCAAACAAATAGAGTCGAAGTGTTTTGATAATCAAGTCAAATTACCTGGATGGAGGTAGTAACGGAGGGAATGATGGAGGGGTACTGTCACAAGTTCACCGGGGACTACATAGCACTGCTCTTGTACTAGGAATTTAAAACGAAAGTAGGCGGTGCTACAGTATACGGAAGAGTATTAGTGTCACATAATATATTTTTGTGCCCCGCTTTCGCGAAATTTCATTCGTCTGTCCCTATGAAAGTCTGTCACAAAATCTTGAAGAATCTTTATCTTGCCAAATTTAATATGACATGCTTTACAGGTTTTGGAATTTCAGTTTTATCATTTCATTAAAGTAAGGTTTAAAATATAATGAAGTTTTTTCCGATAAAATCTTCTTCCCTGAACTCCTCGTACATTTAACCCAGTATCCATATCATCTTCTTTTTGAATATGATGGATGGTGTCTTGAAGATAGATGTGCAATAAGATTTCGGAATTTGCATTTGAACCTAAGGTGGCAAACGGTGTTAAAGGTACTTGGACACAGATTTGAAGTCAATATTTTCTCTATAATATATTACGACTTACATATTTTAATAGCATTTCACACAAAAATTAATTGAAAATCTTATTTCATTTAAGTTATTAATAGCCATTCTCTGTAACCACTTAAACTTCGTTGCCACGCATGGTCACCGATTTTGATGAAACTTCACCCATGCTTAGTACTTGGCACCAGAAACAAATATCAAACAAAATTTCGTTGCTAAGTGTCTCGGTTGCTATGGCAACAGCCGGAAAAGTTTGAAAAATCGAGATTTTCAGCCACTTTAAATCTTGACTGTGGCTTAATAAAAACTAGAAAAAACAAACAAACCATTCTCACAAAAACATGACACCTTGATGTCACTTACAGTGTAAAGAAACTGTTTAGAATATAATTCTCAGTAAGTGGTAACCAAGGGTACATTTGGAATACATTTAAAATGGTGAAATATGCTGAAAATAACTTAAAAGTGAATTTTTTTCTGCGTGAAGAAAACAACACTGTGGCTATGGTTACCGAGAAGGGAAAATGTTCGATTTTGTGAACTTTATATCAATATTCACTAATGGTAGGTGTTACATGCTCAAACTATTTCATTGATCACTCGCAGCGTATGCAGTTGTTATCAGCATATTGATATGTACATGATTGTTTGTTATTAAATAATTGATAAAAAGTTGTAAAAGAAATAAGTTATATGCTGTCAATCATATAATATTGTTTTAGAATCGGGTTCACTATATTTCGACCCGGTCTCGATCTCGATAGCATGTTTGAAGTCAATTATCACGTTTCGTCTTTGAACATTGTATTGTCATTGTTTAAATCAACTTAATAACGTAATAGCTACTTGTACTTATCGTATTTTGGTAGATAAAATCCCATTTTGTTTGGTTAGTAATGATTTTCTATTAGAAAACTTCTCTGCGTGCACTTTCCCTGATTTGTTTATACCGGAAGTGGCGTAGGGTCATTCCGGGTCAGCGATTGGCTAATTGAGGTTACCAGTGGGTACAGTAAAGGTATATAAAGAAGCGAAAATTTCGTCTGCTAGAGGAGAAGGGGGAGAAGTTGGGAGGATACGGAAGCCTCCAGATTATTATCTTACAAGTGCTCCCATCATTGGCAGTCATTTAAAGGGATGGCAGACCCTATGCAGACCAGATGGGTAATTATATTAGTCAAATTATATTAAATAGAGACGCTGAGATATCCCTTTGGGAGACCCATAAGTAGAGTGGGAGACCCATCGACGGGAAAACTTATGGGAGAATTTATGGGAGTTACAATTTATTATTAAAACTATATAGGTCTTACAGAATAGGCATAAATAAATTATATTAAACCAAGGAAAGTATATTTTAGTACAAGTAGCTAATTTTTATAATTATTTTGGGAGATTTAGATTTTACCTACGGGTGGTGGGAGTGACTTCACTTTATAAGAGACTGATATATATTGTATTGTGATTTTTATTATAACAATACTTACATTTAATTGTACATAGTGTAAATAAATTTTATTTGTTGAACTTTTATCCTGACTTAATTATTAATTTATAAGTTAACATACGAGAGTGGAAAGCCCACACAGTTGCCCCACTCTCTCCCGAGGTGGGAGGCGCAACACTGGTGTCAGAAGTGGGATCAAGTCCCTTTGATTGGGAAGAAATTTTCCACATTCTCGGTTAGCTTTATTAAATTCAAAATTTTACAATCATTGAAATTTCATAGTGTACAATAAAAAAAAAAAAAAAAAAAAAAAGTCACAGAAATGTCAGATTTAGAAGAGTCCGGGGAAGTCACTTTCAAACCCATAGGTCAGCAAATTTTCAGTCCCGCTGGATCCATCGCGGATAACGGGAAAGTCCCTGCTCCCACAGAAGGTATCTCAGCAGCCATGTCTCCCATATCTGAAAATGCAAATGTGTCATTAGTTAAGGTTTTACAAGAGCAATTTTCTAGTGAATTTGCAAAAATGAATCAAAAGATAGGAGAGCAATTTGTAAGCATTAGGGAAGAAATTGATGGGAGGTTAGAGAATATGCAGGAAGAGATTTTTAAGTTTAAACACGAATCCCAGAATTTATGGGAACGGGATCAAACAAGGGTAAAAGATGCCCACATAAATAATAGACCCCCGTATCAAATCCCATCACATTTAAGTAATGACAATGTTAGGGAAAATAGACACCCAAGTTCATATGACCAATATAGAGTGGGAGAAGAGAATGGGATAAATAGAGGGATGATAGGATCTCAATTCAATTTTACAGGTGACCTCCCAGAATTTAGTAGAAAAGATTCAAGGTCAGGGATGGGAGATTACCATCAGTTACCCAGTGTACCCAATATAAACAGGTTTAGCACTCCCGATCACAATGGGAACAGGAATGTGTTAACACCCACTAGGGATCCCCCGAGGGAAAGGGCTAAACCCAGGATATTTGATGGGAATGAGGATTTTGATGATTATCTCTCTCAGTTTGAGATAGTCGCAGACCTTAATAATTGGGATTACAAAACTAAATCTTTACAGTTAGCAGGTCATTTAGCTAAAGATGCATGTAGTTTGTTGGGAGAGTTGAGCCCAGGTCAGAGAAGGGATTATAATACCCTGATAACAGCCTTGAAAAGACGCTTTGGGGCCACAGAAAGATCTGAAATGTTTAGGGCAAGATTGAAAACCCGGGTGAGGGGTCAAAATGAGAGCATCTCTGAGCTGGCCCAGGCAATAAAAAAATTAACCAGACAAGCCTATCCCAGCGCTGAGCCCAGTCTCACTAACGTATTAGCATTAGACCAATTTATAGACGCGTTACCAGATCCCGACATTAGGCTGCGCCTGAGGGAGGCCCGACCTAGGGATATAAATGAAGCCGAAACTCTAGCAATTAGGTTAGAAACTTATAGGTTGGCGGATACACAGAAGTGTGCAAAGTTGAACAATGTAAACGCCATAGATGCTAGTGGGAGTGGTAACACCCAAGATTCATTTAAATTGACCAAATTATTGGGGAGATTAAATGAAAACATAGAAAGGTTAGAAAAAACAACCAGAATACAGAATCCCAGTCCACCTTTTAAAAAAGGAAATTGGAAAAATTGGAATCAGAAAAATAACCAGGGTTGGAAAGCTCAAAAATCCAGTGGTTATAATGGCCCAAATAATAAAAAGAAAATGGGAATGGTTATTCTTGGGGAAATCAAAATGGTAGCACCCAAAATCAAGGTCCCAAAAAGGGAAATAACTCAAGTTCAGTGTTATCGGGAAACAAGAAAATGGTCAATTACATGTATACATAAACTTCAGATGGGAATGGTAAGGTAAAAGTATGACATTTTATACAGTTTTCACCTCCTAAGTTTAACATGGTTTATACAATCACTCAAATAAAAGCATTAGAACTATCATATCTGGCGTATGGATCACCTTGATGAATGCGTGAAAAATTTTACAGTTCTGATCATGAAACGGCTTCGGGCCAACTCAAAAAGGAAATTGGAAAAATTGGAAATCCGGTTATAATGGCCCAAATAATAAAAAAGAAAATGGGAAATTCTTGGGGAAATCAAAATGGTAGCACCCAAAATCAAGGTCCCAAAAAGGGAAATAACTCAAGTTCGGGGAAACAGCAGGGAAACCTTCCCATGTCGGCTTCGGGGGTCGGAAATCGACAAAATTTGGGGGAAGACCCACTCCATTAGAAGAGGTTGAAATAAAACCCCGGGAAAATGAAACAAAGTTTCAAGAAATTGTAGGTGAAAATAAAAATGAATCAAATGTTAATGATACTCTTTTGACCTCAAATGAGGGAGATGGGAATGAAAAAGTTGAGAGGGATATGGGAGAGAAATCTGGCCCAAAAGAAACCCTTTCCCAAGCTACCAAAGTAATTGTTCATAATGCAAGCAAAATTGAATCAGGTATTTTTGTTCCCACACAAATCAATGGGAAAGAATGTAGATTTTTAGTAGATTCTGGGGCAGATGTTACCATTATTAGTACCCAATTTTTAGAGAAATGTTTTGAGGGGAAATCACCTTCCTTAGAACCCTATGATGTGAAACTAGTCTCTGCTACAGGGGACCCAATACCAAATAGTGGGAAATGTGAAGTCCATTTTAAAATGGGGAAAAATGAAATCACCCACAAAGTGATAGTAGCTGATATTAGATACAACGGTATCTTAGGTTTAGACTTTATGACTGAACATTCATGTGATATCTTAGTACAAAAGATGTGTTTACGGGTTAAGGGTCAAGAGATCCCTTGTTTTAGATTTAGTAGTGATGAGGTAGATTGTACCTTTAGAGTTGCATTAATGGAGGACGTGAAAGTACCTCCCAACTCAGAGTTTATTGCCCATGGTAGAATTTTGGATTCTATTCCTAAATGGGATGAGGCTTTGGTAGAGCCAAATATAGAATTTATGGGTAAACATGAAGTGTTAGTGGCTAGGACACTTGTAAACCCCACATCTGGGATAATCCCATTAAAAGTCATGAATGTGTCAGATAGGGAAATTGAACTCCATAAAAATAGTCTTATGGGAGGAATGGAGAAAGTCTCCATGTTAAAAGATGATAGTTTAGCTATATCAGAAATCAGCTTAGAAGATACCCCCACTAAATTACCAGAACATTTGAAAAATCTGTATGAAGAGTCATGTATTGGGATAACAGAAATTGAAAAAGAGCAATTAAAAGATTTACTTGTAGAGTATCAGGGTTGTTTCTCTAAAAATTCTGAGGATATGGGACTTACAAATATGGCAGAGCATAGAATAGATACTGGGAATAATAGACCCATTAAACAAGCCCCAAGAAGAATTCCTCTTGCCAAAATGCAAGAGGTTAATAGGGAAATTAAAGAAATGTTAGCTAAGGGAGTGATTGAAGAATCAGATAGTCCCTGGAGCTCCCCTATAGTTCTAGTTAAAAAGAAAGATAACTCGATAAGGTTTTGTATAGACTTTAGAAAACTCAATGAGGTAACTATCAAGGATAGTCACCCTATTCCTAGGATAGAGTCAATATTAGATGCCCTTTCGGGATCAAAATACTATTCCACTATAGATTTGAAAAGTGGGTATTGGCAGGTTAAGGTAGCAGAGGAAGATAAACCTAAAACAGCATTCTCAATCCCGGGGGGTGGTCATTGGAATTTTACTGTCATGCCATTCGGTTTGTGCAACGCGGGGGCCACTTTCCAAAGATTGATGGAAAAAGTACTCTCTCATTTGTCGTGGGAAATTTGCATGGTATATCTTGATGACATTATTGTCTTAGCCCCTAATTTTTCCCAACACCTTAGGAACTTAGAAAAAGTGTTCAGTAGATTAAAGAAAGCAAACCTTAAAATCAACCCTAAAAAGTGCAAACTTTTACAGAGGGAAGTAGCATACTTAGGACATATTATCAGCGAACAGGGAATAAAGACTGACCCTGACAAAATCGATGCGGTCCAAGATTGGCCCACACCTAAAAATGTTAGGGATGTCCGTAGTTTTCTAGGTATTTGTTCCTATTATCGGAAATTTGTTCAAGGGTTTTCTGTAATAGCTAAGCCCTTGCACAAATTAACAGAAAAATCCCAAAAGTTTGTATGGGACTCAGACTGTCAAGAAGCCTTTGACAAGTTGAAAAGAGCTTTAACCAGTAGCCCAATACTTTCTTATCCCAAGAAAGAGGGACAATATGTGATAGATACAGATGCCTCAAACACTGGCATGGGATCTGTACTATCCCAAATCCAGGATGGGGAAGAAAAAGTCATAAGTTACTATAGTAAGCTATTCAATACGGCTGAACGCCGATACTGTGTGACTAGACGGGAATTGTTAGCTATTATTCAGTCCATCAAACACTTTCACCATTATCTTTATGGGCAAGTATTTAAAATAAGAACAGACCATGGTTCATTACGATGGCTTCTGAAATTTAAGAATCCCGAAGGTCAAATAGCCCGTTGGCTAGAAACATTAGCTTCTTACCAATTTGAAATAGAACACAGGCCAGGTCGCTTGCATGGGAATGCAGATGCTTTATCCCGCAGACCTTGTGCTGATGTGGAGTGTACATACTGTGCTAAAGCAGAGGTAAAATACCTACCTGAAGAATCTACACAAAAGTGTTCAGTTGTTGAAACTAGGTCGAAACAAAAGGCACCTGAAAATAAAGAAAGTTTAATTAGCACAGAAAATTTTGATGTGGGAAAATATCAAAATGAAGACCCAGATTTAAAGCATGTTATTAAGTGGGTACAAGATGGAACTCAACCCAGTTGGGAAGATATATCCCATTTAAGTGAGACTTGTAAATTTTATTGGGTTCGATTCGAGTCTTTAGAATACAGACACAATACCTTGTACTATGTCCATGATGGGTTAGAAAGAAATTATTGTATAGTGATCCCAAAAGCTTTAGTGGGAGAAGTTTTGACCCTATTACACAATAGTACTACAGGAGGTCACTTAGGTATTAAGAAAACCCTATCTAAAGTAAGGGAAAGATATTTTTGGTACAAAATGAGTACTGATACAAAACATTGGTGTGTAACATGTGACACTTGTGAGTCTAGAAATCCCCTAATAGGAGAATAAGAGCCCCACTTCAAAAATATGTGGTTGGTGCTCCTTTAGAGAGGGTAGCAATTGACGTTATGGGACCATTGCCCAAATCCAATAAGGGAAATCTCTACATCTTAGTTATGGGTGATTATTTTACAAAATGGGTGGATGCGGTACCCATACGTAATCAGAAAGCTGTCACAGTCGCTCAAAAGTTAATTGATAGAATAGTTAGTATTTTTGGAACACCCATGCAAATCCACAGTGATCAGGGAAGATCATTCGAGTCAGATGTATTTAGGGAAATGTGTAGGATTTTAGGCATCGAGAAAACCCGAACCTCACCATATAGACCTCAGTCAGATGGGTTGGTAGAGCGGGCAAACAGAACAATAGAAAATATGTTAGCATCATTTGTTTCTCAAAATCAGAAAGATTGGGATGAACATTTACCCTTGCTCATGTTAGCTTATAGGTCAGCCCAGCACGAGTCAACTGGCGTAAGTCCATGTGAGATGATGTTCGGTAGGCATGTTTCTCTCCCAGCTGATTTAGTATTGGGAAGGCTACAACCTGAAAGTACATTAGAAATGTCAGAATATGCTTACAAATTGTCTCAATCTATGGATAAAATACATGAGTTTGCTAGGGATAAAATGAGTTTAGCTACAGAAAAAATGTTAAGAGAATACAACTCAAAGATAAATTTTCAAGGTTATGAAGAGGGAGATCTTGTATGGTACTACGCCCATAATATTAATAAAATGGGATCACCAAAGCTCCAGTGTCATTGGTTGGGACCTTACTTAATTCTGAAAAGAATCAATGATGTTATATACAAAATTAGAAAAACAACAAAAAGTAAATCCAAGGTTGTTCACTATAATTTGTTGAAGCCTTACAAAGGAAGTAATAGACCCAACTAGAAATATGGGATCTGCCTCGAAATATATGTAGCTTAGTGAATATTAAATATACTCATCATTTTGTCGGAAATTTTAGTAAATCATATTAATATGCAGTTTTATTATGCCCATTATTAATGTTTGGGATGTTGTCAGAAATGAGGGACTAAGTATCCCTTTATTACTTTACAGATCCAAAGATTCAAATGTGGACTATGCACAGAAGACAGAGAGTTCACGCAACAGAGTCACTGTGAGAGGCACATGACTGCAGTGCACTCGGGGTTCGTGTTCCGATGTGCCACTTGCGGGATCGTACTTGGACGAAAAGATCAAAAGCACGGGTGTGAGGGCAGGACCCTGCAGAGAGTGAAGAAATCAACACTCACGCTCACCATAGAGGAAGAGAAGGAGTTTGAGGCCTTCCAACGTGGGAGAGGGAGACACGTCGTGCCCTTCATGAAGGAGCTCCCCTTAGTGTTCAGCGATCAGCCGTACCACCAGGGCCAAGAAAAAAAGAGAGCAATATACACGGAGCCTCACCAAGGACGGAATGCCAAGAAGCGACCAAAGAGATCCGCACAAGCGCCAGCACTCCTGTCATCACATAGGTCCGCCCCAGCGCCTGCACTCCTGTCGATGTCGACCGAGAAGTCCATCACAGCGCCTGCGCCCTTGTCAACCAAGATGCCCACTCCAGGGCCTGCGCTCCTGTCGACCGAGAAGTCCGACCCAGAGCCTGCACTCCCATCGACTGAGAAGTCCATCCCAGTGCCTCCACTCCTGCAGTCGGAAAAGTCAACATCATCACGTCAGAGTAAGAACGATACACCGCAGAGGAGGTCTTTCAAACGATTATTCGGGGACAGTTTAAGTGACTCGTCAGATGAAGAAGATCTTCTTACTCCTGATATTTCAATAACGGAACCTCCTGTTACCTCTACACCGAGTAGAACCCTAACAACTATGACGGAGAGGGAGTTTGACAAACGAGACGTTTCGATACAGACTTCCCCCAGTGGTAGCGCACATCCCTTAGTGTCACAACAATGTATTGGTCTGGATGTTGGCGGGAAACTATTTGTGACGACAGTTGCCACTCTTACAAACCAACCTGATTCCCTTTTCGCAAGGATGATGGAGGACCCCACCTTATTACCTGCTTATAATATACTGGATAGAGGGAACCTACCAGTCTACTTTATTGACCGTGATGCCACCTACTTCGATGTCATACTCCATTACATGAGAGATGGACCGAAGAACATTAATTGCCATTTACCTAATGACGTAAGGACCTTAAGGAAAATCCACATCGAAGCGGTATATTATAGATTAGAGACGCTAGTCGAAATAATTGGTAGCCAGCTGTTTGTAATGATCTTTGGACACAAAGAGTTCTCAGAGGAATAACTGTAATTTGTGAAGATAAAATATGATTTGTGTGTTTTGGAATATATGTCCAATTTTTATAAATACTCATTCATGTCAAATGTTTTGATGATAGGAGAAGTATTGTAAATCCAACTAAGTCCAGTTCTTTTGTTTTTGTTGTTGTTGTTATAAATATCAAGTAGTTAAGGGATGGATGTAGCCGAAATGTTTTTATATAATAATTACATGTAGCATTAGTCATTGCGATGAGTATATGGATTCGAGTTAAATGTGATATGATTGATTATCATATTTTATTAATGCTACTTCTTGTCATATTATGCATGTCATTGTACATTTTAATTGCATTATTGTTTATTTTGATTCATACTTACTTCTATAACTGCAAGTGATGTTTTCAGTAGACCCAAGTCCAGTTGCATTCGGGACGAATGTTTTCTTCAGGAGGGGGCTATGTTACGAAATTCGTTTCGTCACTTTTATATATTTCATTGATCACTCGCAGCGTATGCAGTTGTTATCAGCATATTGATATGTACATGATTGTTTGTTATTAAATAATTGATAAAAAGTTGTAAAAGAAATAAGTTATATGCTGTCAATCATATAATATTGTTTTGGAATCGGGTTCACTGTATTTCGACCCGGTCTCGATCTCGATAGCATGTTTGAAGTCAATTATCACGTTTCGTCTTTGAACATTGTATTGTCATTGTTTAAATCAACTTAATAACGTAATAGCTACTTGTACTTATCGTATTTTGGTAGATAAAATCCCATTTTGTATGGTTAGTAATGATTTTCTATTAGAAAACTTCTCTGCGTGCACTTTCCCTGATTTGTTTATACCGGAAGTGGCGTAGGGTCATTCCGGGTCAGCGATTGGCTAATTGAGGTTACCAGTGGGTACAGTAAAGGTATATAAAGAAGCGAAAATTTCGTCTGCTAGAGGAGAAGGGGGGAGAAGTTGGGAGGATACGGAAGCCTCCAGATTATTATCTTACAAGTGCTCCCATCATTGGCAGTCATTTAAAGGGATGGCAGACCCTATGCAGACCAGATGGGTAATTATATTAGTCAAATTATATTAAATAGAGACGCTGAGATATCCCTTTGGGAGACCCATAAGTAGAGTGGGAGACCCATCGACGGGAAAACTTATGGGAGAATTTATGGGAGTTACAATTTATTATTAAAACTATATAGGTCTTACAGAATAGGCATAAATAAATTATATTAAACCAAGGAAAGTATATTTTAGTACAAGTAGCTAATTTTTATAATTATTTTGGGAAATTTAGATTTTACCTACGGGTTGTGGGAGTGACTTCACTTTATAAGAGACTGATATATATTGTATTGTGATTTTTATTATAACAATACTTACATTTAATTGTACATAGTGTAAATAAATTTTATTTGTTGAACTTTTATCCTGACTTAATTATTAATTTATAAGTTAACATACGAGAGTGGAAAGCCCACACAGTTGCCCCACTCTCTCCCGAGGTGGGAGGCGCAAAATTCAATGAATATTTTTTTTAACTTTTGAATACTTTGTAACCATAGTAACGTATGTAATAGTTGATTTACCAAAGATGTTTATCATGCATTTGAGACATCTGACCTTCAACTTTTGGAAACAGTCATTGCCAATTGTTTGCTTTGCCGCAAATGTTAACTATGGGGCTCTAAACATGTTTAAAAATGCCATTTTTCGAACTTTAAGACATGTTGCCATGGTAACTATAAAGCATAGCAACCAATTTTTGCCTGATTTCAGTTTAGGGTATCAATGACTTTTATCATAGAGAGTTTGGAGAAATTCTGAGACTATGCGTGCCACAGCTCCTATATAAAATTTCAAATCATTACAGAGAATGGCTCTTAAAACTTCAAATTTTTTGGCGGGTTTGATTGACACATCCTTGCACTTTCACAAAATTAAACTTATTCTTAATCCTTAGGAAAAGTTGCAATCTTGTTGTGTATTGAGAAATATAAAAACTTTTATCCAGAAAAATAATTTTATTCAGAGCAGAAGTGTTAGAAAGCAAAACTCCTTCACAAGTATCGTCATTCCGAACTAAGAGGTGGGTACAGAGTTTAGCAAATCGAGCACACTCGTGTTATGTACACAGTTTTTGTAAACATGGCAAGAGTTCTGTTATTATTGATGTTTACAATTCACCGGGTGCGTTCAATCGTCACAGTCTGCTTACCACAACTGAACGAACTAACAATATATTGTGTGTTTGTTTTGCTTTCGAACATATCTACTCTGAATTTTCTGGATTATAGTATTAATATTTTTCTTTTATAAATAACGAGATTGCCGCTTTTCCCAAGGATTAAGAATAGAATAGAATTAATATGTGAAAGAGCAAGGATGTGTCAATCAAACCCGCCAAAAAATTAAAAATTTTAATATCTTTTATATGAAATAAGATTTTTAATTAATTTTTGTGTGAAATGCTATTAAAATATATAAGTCGTAATATTATAGAGAAAATAATAACTTCAAATTTGTGTCTAAGTACATGTACCTTTAATATCACAATATGACCAAAAAAAAAAAATAGTAAGCAAAAGCCAAAAGTCAGATCGTGAAATTAAAGAGGAGAGGAGTGGATCGTCACCCTTGGCTAGCAAAGATGGTCAAATGTATGCTGGTGTCCTGTAGTCTTTTTTCAAATACAATATCCAAATATGAAACAGATATGTCAGACTCTGTGGTATCTTTTATCTAAGGCTCACCAGGTTAGATATCGTATCGACATCAGAATTGAAATTACAATTGTTAATTGATAATACGTCGTCGATATATCTAAATGTCGAGTTGACAGCCAAAGCGGATTTTTTCTTCTTTTCACGTATACGATTTTGAACATATTCTGCTCCATATGAATACAAAATAAGCCTGCTAATAACGGGGCAAAATTGGCACCTATGGGATTTCCAACTGATTGTTGGGAACCTTGCCTCCAAACACCACATAGATACTCAATGCATCTTTTTAATTTCAACTTTTCAACTTTAGAGTACTTGTGTGGACAATCAGAATGTTTTTTAACGAAATAATTTTACAAATGACCAATGACAAGATAAGTAAATTTACGAGTTCCATCTTTATTCAAAAAAGCATCTGTCAATGATATAAAAAATCCTGGAATTCAAAGGTGCATAGACACATATTTGGAGTTAATATTTTATCAAATATTCTGTATTATGATATTACGACTTGGATAGTGCAAAAGCATTTCACAAGAAAATATTTTTTTTTATAAAAATCTTATTTCACTTTGAACTCATTGAAACTTCAATTTTTTGGTGAGGTTTGATTAACACGTCCTTGCACTTTCACAACTTATAATTTTATTCTTAATAATTAAGAAGAGTGGCAATTTTGTTGTGTATTAATGAAAAATACTTAAACTATAATATATAAAAAAAAGTAAAAACGTTCGGAAGGAAAACGCGATCACAGTATATTGTCAGTCCGTGCTCAGTGGTGTGTGCAGACTTTAAACAATTGAGCAAACCAAGTGAATCGTAAACGTTAACAATAACAGAGCTCGTGCCCTGTTTACAAAAACAGTTAATGTTTCACGGGTGTATTCAATTTGTTAAACTAATTTGTACTGAAGACTGAGCATGGACTGATGACGCTTGTGAGAATGTTTTACTTTCGAACATTCTACTCTGAACTTTCTGTATTATTGTTTCAATATTTGTCATTAATACACAACAAAAGAAAGGTGAAACTTGTGTGGAAGCACCTCAGGTAGTGTAAATTTAAGTTTGTTTAAATCATGACCGCCGGGGTTAAGATGGGGCCTCAAATGTTAACATAGGAATACCTAGGAAATTTTTTTTCTCAAGAACAGCAAAGCCATGCTTGGTCATAATTATACGGAAGCATCCTATGGTAGTTTAGATTCAAATTTGTTCAAATCATGACCCAAAGTGATAGGGTGTGCCACCATGAGGGATCAAAGATTAACATAGGAATACATAGGACAAATCTAAAAAAAAAAATCTTCTCAAGAACAGCAAAGCTATGACTGGTCATAGTTTTATATTGAAGCATCCTCTTGTAGGGTAGATTCAAGTTTCTTCAAATCAGGACCCCCGAATAACAAAGCCATGATTGATCCTCAATATAAAACCAACAGAAAGGTAATGTAGATTTAAACTTGATCAAATCATGACCAACCAGGAGAGCAGAGGAGCCATTGTAGTGGATCATAGTTATACAAAGTTATACAAAGGAATATAAAGGCTATATCAATCAAAATTTTTATCTTACAAACAGCAAAGTTACTACGTATCATATTAATTTAAAAGCATCCATGGGAAGTAAAGTTAAGTTTGTTCAAATACACCCCCCTCTCTCCCCTAAACCCACTTTTATTATAACCCCCCCCCCCCCCCCCCCCGCTTAAAAAGCGGGAGAGTATATAGTAATTGGGATGTCCGTCCGTCCGTCTGTCTGTTTTACTTTGGAGTACATGTACCTATCTCTTATCCGCAACTCATCTTTTACCACTGAATGAAATTTAATTAGAATTTCACAGAATCTTTGTTTTATATTGCCATTGTGCACCTCCTATTCTACTTTTTGGTCGGGCACATATTTTTGGTTTTCCAGAGCAAAACACTGACACTGCCATTTTTTCTATAATTATATAATTCTATGATATTATCCGCAACTCCTCCTACCATAGAAAATAATACATACCCTTTTCCACATCACATCCTGCATCAGCCCAAGACACCAATATTAGGGCTGATACAGAATGTGTTTTGGAAAAGGGTATGTTTTATTATGTTTATTACACACTTACTAATAATATACGTCGCGTACAAAACACGTCAAATTGAGAAAAAAAAAATAATGCACGGACTTTTGATATGTACATACCTTATTGTCTCACACAGTTTGAGTATGTTTCTACTCGCTTATTCAAATGTACCCGATCTGTAGTGTGAAACAATCTTTTGTCAGTTAGTTGATCCTTGCAATCAAAACGTTAAAATTCAGTGAATGCAAACCCTCAAAAATTTGTTTTATCAACATTACTGTTTTATAAGGTTTAATTTGCAAGGTTGTGATATTGATCCGTATCAGACCCACGGATCCATATCAGCCCTGCAGGGCTGATACGTACGGCTATTGTAATGTCAGGCATATCGCATATATATGCAAAACTCCTGTATTTATTAGTAAGTATGTAAAAAATGAATAAAATTTAATGATACTTTCACATATTCTTTATTACACAATGGCATTGTGCACCTCCTATTTTACTTTTTTATCTGACACTTATTTCGGGTCTCCATGAGCAAAAAAGGGACTTCGTCATTATAATCATACGGGAGGCGGGGGTATCATTTAGTGAGCTAATTACTCACAGTACCTCTAGTTTTTTAACTTTTCAATACTGAACTGAATTTTGCTTTTACCTATCAAGTTGCTCAGGTGAGCGATGTGGCCACAGGCCCACGGACCTCGTGTTTATATTTGTATCAAATACAGACTAGCTGTACTTTGCACACTGAGCTCACTAAATGATACCACCCGCCTCTCATATGATTATAATGGCAAAGTCCATGTTTTGCTCTGGGAGAAATAATTTTCAGATCAAAAAGTAAAATACAAGGTGCAGATTGGCCTTGTGTAATAAAGAATATGTCAGAGATGGGTATCCTTTGATTTTATTGAAAAAAATAAAGCGTAAAAGACAGACGTACATCCCGATTACTGTATAGGGGGAAAATAACTCGCGGTGTTAATATTCGCTTTATTCACGGTGATAATAAATCCGTGAATTCAAGAAACAGTGAATAATTTTTCAATAATCTCCATGTTTTATTTGGAAATTTGAGAACAGACTACGATAGGTTTAAATACATTTACATGTACCACAATACATGGTCATTTCAGTAATTACGAGTAGTATACACTCGTCATCCAATTATTTTAATTAGCACGCTTCACATTAATTCAAGTCAACAGATAATAACCTGTATTTGTTAAAAGGCTTTTTAATAGCCAACGCAACATGTTTCATCAATCAAAACACGTGGGCCATGAGTTTTGATTATCTGTGCGTAACTAATTTTAACACGCACGGTGTTTGCATTATATTACCTGCATATAAATCATGCATATTATAGTTTTTATCGACATTTTGATTTAAAAAAAATAATTCAAATAAATATCGAACTTACTGAAGATTTGGAAGGATATTAATTTATTTCGTCGACCTACATGAACACATTTATCACGTTTATTACCGTCCAGTGGTTTTTCGCCGCGGTGTATTAAAGATCTTGGGGTGTACATGCACTCATCGTAATAGAATATAGGAGAGTCATTTGACGTTTATAGTCAAGGACTTTTGATAACTACACCTGTTTTAATTAATCGTCAATTATTTAATACTTCTAATTATTTTATAATGCATATGATTTCAAACGCATGTTTTACAGCAGCAGCGGTGACATTTCTCCACAACTTCGCTCAAATATCCGTTGTCCGCGACGCCATGACGTGACGTCACGGGCGCGTCCATTTACACAAAAAGGAACAAACTGCCTGAAATGCAAATCTAGATGATTGAGGTCATATGCGAAAAGAAACTAGAGACAAGTTAGTAGACATTCAAGAAAATTTAAAACGGGGAGGTACAACTACTTGTACTCGTATCTAAACGTAATATCGTTCTCTCTAGTTAATTGTGTATGATTGTTTTTTTTTTTTTTTGTTCCTTTTGGATAAATGGACCGCCCGTGACGTCATGTCATGGCGTCGTGGACAACCGCTGCACTCCTTGTGCTATTATTATAGGTATTATGTATCTTTTTTATTTACCGAAAATTTCGGCAAAATTGATAGGTATGCGAACTCCTGTGGTTACATCGTGGCTTACCAGCAGGTTCTCGTTGTGACAATCTGATTTAAATCAGATCCTTTGATCCGCTCACAGAGATCGCTACACAAGGTAGCGATCTATGAGAGCGGATCAAAGGATCTGATATCGATTTTACCGGTAATCAGATTGTCGTTGTGTGGTTGGAAAGTAAAATTCACACTTGAAAAATTCATAAAATTTTGTGCTGGTTATATGAACGTACAATAAAAGTTGAAAAAAATATAATGATAGTTAATGCAGTTGAATTCATTTTTAAGTCATTGCCTGTTTAATATGAGATGTTATATAGACCTTCCTTGATAAATGAAAGGATTGCAAAACAATCCTCTCCAAATAATCTATTATATCGAACCACTTGATTAGTGTCGAGTCAAATGGTTTGAAGTACATGGCCTATCAAAGTCATTTTCTTTGAAAAACAAAAGAAAGTAACATAATGAAAACACATACAGTGTACAGCACATAATTATGAACACACATGTGACAGCATAATGCACTCTAGAACCACAGCATATAATTATGAACCCACAACATAGTACCACAGCATATAATAGACACACTGCATATAATAATGAACACTCAGCATATAATAATTGAACAAGAGCATAAAATGCAAGCTAATTCAGAGAAAAATACAAGCTAATTCAGAGAATTTGTGTCCCCCGCTTAGGGAAAAAGTAAACCATGTGCAGGGGGTGGGGGGGGGGAGGTTTCGGATCCCCTTGACTGAATTTTTAGAATTATTAAATGTATACTGAAGCAAATAAAATATGCTAATATGGATATAAAGGTTTGATTGATTATTCTTTTTTATGTGTGTAGATGATTCTTTTATTATGGAATATTTATCACACTGTAATGATGATTTTATGTGTTTGTACAAGCCAGACCTCATAAATTTTTCATTTCCCATGCTGAATACTATCATTTAGTAAAAAAAAAAATGTATTTCGAAAAAAAAAAATTGGATCATCAGGAATTCGATCCCGGGCCCTCTCACATGTTTCAGTTTCAGTTTCTTTATTTCTTTAAGCCAACTGGCCCATCAGAGTTATACAACAAACATGATAATAACAAAAAGAAAAAACATACAGAGAGAGTGAACGTAAAGAACACATACATTGGAATAATTCTATACATCAATTTTATTTTTTTTTCTTAACATTGTTGCTGCGTTCAAAAATTTGCCCAAATTTACGAGATCTTTAATATTATGGGAACTTAACAGCTGAATTGATTTAAAGACACTAGGCCTAGTATAATAATACTTTTTCAAAAATTTCTTTCTTATATCAATATACAATGGACATTTCAAAAGAAAATGAAATTCATCTTCGATATCATGGAGATTACAACATGTACATTATACAATTATTGCTGTTTTTTGAGGTCAATACAATGATTTAGCCATCTGAGGAGTGCAATATTCACTGAGCCCGAAGGGCGAGGTGAATATTATACTTCGAAGATGGCTAAATCATTGTCTTGACCGAAAAAAAACAGCAATAATTGATTTATTATATGATTCACTGATAAAATAATACATCTCATTACTTGTTTGCATTTAATTAAGTCCTAGCCAAATACGAGAGAGAAGCAGAATTAAAATGTGAATAAACCTTACCAATCGTATCAATTTGAAATGGATTTTTTTTATCAATTTTAGTTGCCATGAAAAAATATATAATGTCAGTCTTTTTTATAGGATAGATTTTGAAAGGAAGGAGTATTATCAGGAAAAAATGACTGCCAAAAAATTAAAAAAAAATTGTTGTTCAGTAAAAGTGTTGGAGGGGGACCCCCCTCTTACCACCCTCACCCTAAAATATATATTCGTTTATGTTTTGTTCACATGAAAAAAAAACATAGTCGTTTAAATAGCTTTCCAAAATAATTTGTATCAATTTGGAATTTCCCAATTTATTTTTAGATCAATGTAGAGGAAATAAATCCTTGTATTGACCTGGAACGTCACGTGCAGGTCAATACAACATAGTATTTTTCTAACATAGTTGGATCTCAGCCAATCAGAGAAATGGAAATTATTCAATCATATAATAAAATCTATTATTTTTAGGTACGTTATGGTGTCGACCTGTTTCAATATTCATGTGAAGCGACAGACATACCACTAGACCACGAAGCCGCGTTATGTGGGGAAAATTATATACGAACATTAAGTCACATACATGTATACTAGTATATTCACGTTCGATATATTGTCAAAATTTTACACAATGCATGTTGTCTAATTTAACCTTTATTAAACAGTTCTAATAGATGTAATAAGAATATAAAGTCCGCCGAGAACCTGTTTTATATGTAACAACTCTCCTTCATGCCCCTGTGCTAAAAACAGCGACATGTAATACAATCAATACTAATAAAACAAACGGGGCGGGACATTTTGAGAGGAATGAGAGAGTTCCTAAGGACTTTTGGTATAAAATTACATTGCAAAAGCTCAACATCCTCTTGAAATATCGCCCGAAAACGATAGTGTTACACACAAACAGAATGTATACATTTATGACCTTAAAGTTTGACGTTTTGACCTCAAAATCAATAGGGGTCTTCTTTAGTCCATAGGGAGTTGCTATGCAAAGTTTCATTGCAAAAGCTCAAAGGGTTCTCGAGATATCGTGTGGAAACGAAAGCGTTACAGACAGACAGAAAGACGGACGGACGGACGGACGAACAAACCCAAATTAATATCCCCCACTTTTCAAGCGGGGGACAAAAATTATCCAACATAAGGCAGCCATGGCGTTCCATATCCGCAGGCTGACTAATCGTTAATGTCATGTTTCTGATCAATAGGTCTCAGCAATCCAAAAAAAAAAAAATTATTGTCTCAGGCAAGCCCCTCCATATCTAATTGTAACTCTCTTGTCTATATGTTTTGTGGTATGCATATGCAAATTACTGTACACAAGGTTATTTTCGCCCCTTTGCAAACAATTAACCCCGTTTTAAATACGCTAAGTAGCAGTCTTGTTTAAGATTTGATACTGTTTACTTTGAATTCACCCCTTTTTCACCCCACATCCGACAAATTTGAAAGGGGCGAAAATTTCAAGCATACAATATACATTCCAGGTTGCAAGGTTAACATGGTTAAGGAGCTACCATATTTCAAGACTTATGATTTCAGTTACTTTCGATAAACAAAATTTCAAATTGAAATGGAGGTAACAGAAAAGACGGAAGCTATAGAATATTATACAATTATTCAATGTCTGAGCAGGCAATAGACTCAGAATAAATTCGAAACCCAGATCGGTTTTTCCGAAATACGTTGCGCAGTCTATGGACTGGCAGTAAATAGATCGGTTTCAAAATGATACGAAAAACTAAAAACACATACAGAATAGATGAAAATATTAAATCTCTAATAAAACAACATAATCTATTTGATTAAGTATTAAATGAAAATATTAAATCTCTAATCACTAATAAAACAACAAAATCTTTTGACTATGTAGGTGATAAAAGATTTTATTCTAAGATGTAACAAGAGGCCCATGGGCCACATCGCTCACCTGAGAAGCTTTGACAATTCTGTCCTTTACTAGATTTTCCCCTTGTAATACAAATTGTGACCCCACCCTACCCCACTTATCATAATTTAGACAATTTGAAATCTACACTACCCCAGGATGTTTCCATATAAGTTTCAGCTTTTCTAGCCAAGTTGTTATTAAGAAGAAGATTTTCAAAGATTTTTCCTATATATTTCTATGTAAAACTTTGATTCCCCATTGTGGCCCCGCCCAATCCCAAGGTGTCATGATTTGAACAATTTAGAATCTACACTATCCCAGGATGCTTCCACATAGGTTTCAGCCTTTCTGGCCCAGTGGTTCTTGAGAAGAAGATTTTCAAAGATTTTTCCTATATATTTCTATGTAAAACTTTGATTCCCCATTGTGGCCCCGCCCAACCCCCGGGGGTCATGATTTGTACAATTTAAAATCTACACTACCCTAGCATGCTTCCACATAAGTTTCAGCTTTTCTGGCCCAGTGGTTCTTGAGAAGAAGATTTTCGAAGATTTTTCCTATATATTTCTATGTAAAACTTTGAATCCCCATTGTGGCCCCGCCCAACCCCCGGGGGTCATGATTTGTACAATTTAGAATCTACACTATCCCAGGATGCTTCCACATAAGTTTCAGCTTTTCTGGCCCAGTGGTTCTTGAGAAGAAGATTTTCAAAGATTTTTCCTATATATTACTATGTAAAACTTTGATTCCCCATTGTGGCCCCGCCCAATCCCCGGGGGTCATGATTTGAACAATTTAGAATCTACACTACCCCAGGATGCTTTCACATAAGTTTCAGCTTTTCTGGCCCAGTGGTTCTTGAGAAGAAGATTTTTTAATGACCCCACCCTATTTTTGTCTTTTCTTGATTATCTCCCCTTGTGAAGGAACTTGGCCCTTCATTTTAACAATTTAAATTCCCCTTCACCCAAGGATGCTTTGTACCAAGTTTGGTCAAAATTGGCCCAGTGGTTCTTGAGAAGAAGTCGAAAATGTGAAAAGTTTATGGACGGACAGACGGACGGACGACGGACACAATGTGATCAGAAAAGCTCACTTGAGCCTTCGGCTCAGGTGAGCTGAAAAAGGTTTTTTAATTCCTTGAACATTATCTAACAGATCTTGCACATTTACTATTAACAAACATCACTATAAAACAAGAAGCTCAGAAGCCACAACGCTCATAAAAATCACTTATGTCCTGCTATTCTAAATAAGATTTTGCCCTAGTAGCCCCACCTTATCTACAAGGGACATGATTCGACCAATTTAAAATATATATTACCTCATGAAGTCTTCACGTAATTTTTAGACTTTAAAATATTTTTTCTTTTAGACATATTTAAATGTAAAAGTTTGAATCCCCATTGTTGTTCCACCCTACCCAAAGGAGGCATAATTTGAACAATTTAGAATCTTCATTGCCAAAAGAAGCTTCTACAAAAGTTTTCATATTTCTGGTCCCGTTTTTAGTGTGCATCCTTAGATATATCGTCCATGCAAGTTTGGAAAACAAACAGCTTATACTAGTTACTTGGAAATGAGACCTGGATCATAAACTTTAATCTGTTCATTCATCCGGAAAACATAGGTCAGATCCAACATCTGAAGCAAGCCTGGAAGTATCATCCTTAGATGTATCATCCATGCACGTTTGGACAACATAGGGTTTATAGTTACTTGGAAATGGGACCTGCATCATAAACATTAACGTGTTCACTCATTCGAAAAATATAGGTCAGATCCAACATCTGAAGCAAGCCTGGTAATGCATCCTTAGAGGTATCATTCATGCAAAGTTGAGTCAACATTGGGTTCATAGTCACCTGGAAATAGAACCTCCACCAAAAACTTTAAATGTTTACTCAACCGAAAAATATGTGAAATCCAACATTCGAAGCAAGCTTGGTAGTGTACATCTTTAGATGTACCATTCATGCAAGTTTAGTCAACATGGGGATTATAGTTCCTTGGGAATGAGGCCAGCACCAAAAACTTAAACCTGCACAGAAAAATTAAACCTGCTCCAAAAACATCAATCTGGTCATTCCTTTGCTGAAATTGAAGCATCTGAAATCTTGGCTGGTAAACGAGCACACTAGAAGCATCCTTCATGCATATCTGACCCATGTAGGGCATAGAGTTACTTAAAAAGAAAACTGCACCAAAAACTTTAACCTGGGAAGCCAACACCGACGCCGAGGGTATCCCAAAAGCTCCCCCTCAAATTTTCGTTGAGGTGAGCTAAAAATGTAACTTTAGTGAAACCCTTGCAATTTAAAGGTGATAGCTGATAAATAACTACAATATTAATTGGAGTGTATCCATTTCATAGAAAAAAGAAAATTGTGCCCATACCCTTTGGGAGGAAAAATATCTTTTGTTTGTGTTTGCGTTCTCTCTGTTTGTTCTAATTGTTCAAAAAACTCAGAAAGACTATTCAACTCTATGAAGCATTTGACCTTTACAGAGCATGCTTAAGCAATCAGTATAGTGTTTGCAGGAGTTAATTTTTAATAATATTAATTTTGTGTAAAAAAAAAAAAAAAAGAAAGAAAGAAAGAAAAAAATTAATTTAAAATAAATCATGCATCCCTCTAGTGAAATAATAGGTATTGTTGCAATTAGATTATCAAACATAATTTTTGTTTTATTATTATAAATACATAGTCACTGCATTGAAAAAACACCACATGACAGTATCTAGATTGTTCCACAAACTTGGGGCATCAGGAAGATGGATGGATTTGGTATAGACAAGGGACTGGATAGATACTATGCGATACTAAAGTCAATCGCTGTATATTAGTTGATTTCTAAATCAGAGATTTTAAATTGATTTCTAAATGGGGGTATTTAAATGTTCACCTTTAATTCCATAATTGCATAATACTGACGAGTAAAGAAGAACATTTCATAAAATAATGCATTAATTATGGGGTGTATACTGCCCAACCAATCACATGAACCCTTGATCCTAGGTCCACATATTTCATAGTTTTGGAAGATGCAGTCTTGATGTTCATTATGGTGCACAAATTTCTCTGCTAAATGCCAAGGAGCACAAAAATTTGAAAATTTTGTAACAGGCATACTTTCTTATCAAAACAACCTCTTTGTATAATAGACAGAAGCAGAAAAGAAGATTTGTAAAGAAATGCACTTCCACTATATAATCAATTGAGCCCCCTCTGGCAGAACCTCTGACCCTGAGGCCACAAACTTCACAATTTTGGAACAGGCACCTTTGGACATCATGCACCTGATTTATCAATGATTTTCGGAGAATTTATGCATTTGCACTATACTCCACCCTTTTTCCAGAATCCCTGACAGGGCCAATAAGTTATAAAATGTTGTCTAAGCGTAGATAAAATTTTTAATTATATCACTTATTTTGATGGTTTGATCATTACCCCCTAATGCCAAGGGGGGCAAGGACTATGAAATACTTAGTATATAATTTTTGTTCACCTTCATTCAATATGGTATAAGCATAAAAAAGATTGGAAATGGCTCAATGGTTTCAGAGAAGATGCTGAAAATATGCTGAAAATATCCAGGTTGTAATGGACAATATATGAATTTATGATTGCAATTATTATGAATCAGACACACAATTTCTCTGGATAAAGGATATGTTTTTGAACACAAGGCAAAAGGGCAAATGTGTTTGGTACCAGAGAATTCATGATTGCATTTATAATGAATCAGACTCACAATTTTTCTGAATATCAACACTGTCAAAAATCTTTCTTTGATTTTCTCTTTGTGTATTAATGTTTTCTTGTAATTGGTTTACTCTTTCTTCAAAGTTTTTTATTCTTTCTTCAAGATTATTCATATTGCCTTTAATCATACTTCCAAGTAGAGTCACATCTTGATTAAGTTGTTTTATTTTCTTCTCAGTATTATGCAAGATACCTACTCCAGTCACACTATGAATATCCTCTCCTAATTGGCGAATTTCTTCTTTTAGTTCCTTGATTTTTGACTCCAGAATCTCCAAACGCCCTGGATTTTTCTGAAATTAAAAAAATAGGTAATCAAAGATTTCTAAGCTCACCTTGACAAATGTTTTCAGTTTAAATAATACAAATCTCATATTAAATATTCTTTATAGTTAGTATCCTGATAACAATATTCATGTATTTCTGTTTGAGTTCATTGGGAGTTGACCTGTTCCAAAATCACTAATCAAGAAAATGTCTCTTCCTACATCCAATGCAAGTTTACAATTGTCAATCCCTATATGCAAGTGAAATCATAAAAGGCCATAAAATAACAAAGATACCCCAATAACATGAGCTTGGTCACTGATTTGTAAAACGTAGGTCAGATCCAGCAACCATATCAAGTATGGTAGTGTCCATCCCTAGATCCATGCAAGTTTGGTCGAGATAGGGATTCTAGTCATTTGGGAATGGACTTTCTCCAGAAACTTTAACTTTTCACTCATCTGAAAAATGTAGGTCAGATCCAGCAACCGAAGCAAGTCTGGTAGTGTCCATCCCTACATGCATCATCCATGCAAGTTTGGTCCAGGTAGTGCTATTAGTTACCTGTGAATGAACCTGCTCTAAAAACTATTAATTAACCTGGTCACTCATTGTCAGATCCAGCATCCGGAGCAAGTCTGGTAGTGTTCATCCCTACATGCATCATCCATGCAAGTTTGGTCCAGGTAGGAATTATAGTTTCTTTGGAATTGGCCTGCTCTAAAAACTTTAAGGTCAAGATCTTGTAAATGTCTTTTTGATGCTAGATCCATAATGACGTCATAATCAGTTTCAACTTTCTTTTTCCCGTACTTTACGGCTCTAATGCAGTTATGAAGAAAATATTTTCATTGAATTCAACTTGAAATCACATAAAAATAGTCCCGATACCTATATTTAATTTGATATTATTTTAAAAAGGAGGCCAAGAACATACAAATTACAGTTTTTTGAAGGACTGAAGACAATCTGGATACATGCTCTTTGTCTGATAAGGAAAAACTCCCATTTTCATGATTTTCTTAATTTTTCATTGGAAATGACAAGAATATGGTTTTTTCATCTTGTTAACCTACAAACTATGCCCCGAAATACAAGGCTAAAGTGATAAAGAATCATTAAAGGAATTTATCTCTTAAATTTGATAAATCTGTAGGCACCTTTCATTTACTAGATCTTGACCTTAAACTGGCCTTTATCTTGAAAATATAGGTCAGATCCAGCATCCAAAGCAAGTCTGATAGTGTACATCCCTAGATGCATCATCCGTGCAAGTTTGGTCCAGGTAGGGCTTATAGTTACTTGGGAATGGTCCTGCTCCATCACTAGATGCATTGTACATGTAACAAACTAAATTTAATCCCTTAAGATACCCCTATTTTGTGGGGAGCCATTCTATTAGCTATTTCATCTACTTGAGAGCTCGTGTTCGGGTAGTATCCGAGAAGTAACAACCGAAAATATACCTGTTTGGCTTGTTGTGTTGAAAAAGCCGGGGCGGGTACTTGAAGTACTTCAGGTATTTGAAAATGTAATTTGTGAAATGTTTTTTCTTGTTGCAGTCTACATCTTAGTATAGTTGTTTTACTATAATAAAACTAATTACATAAACAATAGCCAGTCGTGCAGTGTGAAAGGGAGAGGCTTGCATTGGTTATGCAGTTACAACTGCAAATGTGAGAAAGAGTAAGACAGAGTATGACAGCCACGACGGACACCTCGGGACCAAGCAATTTAAAGTAATGTATTTTTTTTGTCCCCCGCTTTCACGAAAGCAAGGGGACATTAAATCTCATCCGTCTGTCAGATTGTAGTCAGTCAGCTATGACTTTCATTTTTCACCTGTTTATTCCTTTAGACTAGTTCTTTCTTTGGGTACCAGCAAATTTGACCTTTTGACCTTGACCTTTGAGTTTGACCAACTTTTACACAAAAAATTTAAACTTTTACTTTGGCCATAACTTTTGAATGGTAAGAGCTAGGGCTTTCAAACTTCAGATATGCGAAAAGACCTTTCATTGGAAACCAATAACTTTGACCTTTTGATCTTGACCTCGAAGATTTCCGAAGTTATGAAAAAACTTTAACCTCTGCCAAAATTTTTGAAGGATAAGGGCTAAGACTTTTATACTTCACATATTTTATCCTTGTGATGAGACCTTCTATTCGATGCCAACAAATTGGACCTCTTAATCTTGATCTGGAGTTTGACCTGCTTTTTAAAAACTAAAACCTTGACCCTAACTTTTAAACGGTTTGGGCAAGGGCTTTCATACTTCACAAATGTAAAACTTGTTGTATGACCTTTCATTGGTTATAAAATAAACTTTGACCCATTTGATTTTGACCTTTGACCTACTTTTAAAAAACTTTAACATTGTCGTTAACTTTTAAAAAATTCAGGCAAGGGCATTCATACTTCACCTACATGCATGTAATACTTGTGGCAAGACATTCCATCAAAATTGACCTTTTGACCTTGAACTTGGAGTTTGACCCACTTTTACACAAAAAATCCAAACTTTTACTTTGGGAATAACTTTTGACAATAAATACTAGGGCTTTTCTATTTTACATACGTACTTTTTTGCGACAAGACCTTTCACTGGATACCAATAACTTTAGTATTTGACGTTGACCTTGAAGATTTTCGTGCTAATGAAAAAATTTTAACTTTGGCCATTCCTTTGAACGGTAAGGGCTAGGGCTTTCACTTTCATTCTTCACAAATGTTATCCTTGTGAAGAGACCTTTCATTGGATACCAACAACTTTGATCCTTTGACCTTGACCTTGGAGATTGATCTACTTTTGAAAAACTTTAACCTTGGCCATAACTTTTGTACAGTTCGGGTAAGGGCTTTCATACTTCACACATGTAATACTTGGTGCAAGACCTTTTATTGCATATAAAAAAAACTTTGATTCTTTGATCTAGACCTTGGAGTTTGACCTATTTTTAAATATGTTTAACCTTCTCCATAACTTTAAAACGGTTCGGTAAGGGCTTTCATACTTCACATATGTAATACTAGTGGCAAGACCTTTCATTGGATATTAAGAACTTTGACCATTTGACCTTGGAGTTTGACCTACCTTTCAAAAACTTATTCTTGACCATAACTTTTTGAACAGGTGGTGCTAGGGCTTTCATATTTCAAAATTGTATTTCTTGTGAGATGGCCCTACTTTGGATACCAATATAATTAATTTGCATTTGAGAAAAGTTAATTCTTCACTATTTTGACATACGATGTCATCAGTGTTTCACTTCTTTATAACTTTTAATTGAGAAGAGATAGGGCTTTCATATTTGATATGTACATTACCTGTGACAAGATTTGACAGAATATGTCATGAAAAAATGACATCCCACCCACAAAGACACTGAAAGCAGGGGACCACAATTCTTTGAATTTTTCAAAGTTGTTTTTGTAAAAATTTACTTTTGTTTATTAAATTTTGTTAAAATTATGTTGTAAATTTTTGTTTCCTTCATTTATGCAAGTTCTTAAAGTACATTACTCACATCTCAACATGCATCACCCATGTGTGGTTTGGTCCAGGTAGGGATAATAGTTATTTTGTAATTGACCTGCTCCAAAACATAAACCTGGTCATTTATCTGGAAAATGTAGGTCAGATCCAGCATCAGAAGCAGGTAGGGTATTTAGCTACTTTGGCTTACCTGCACAAAAAAACTTTAACCAGTTTACCAACTGGAAAATGTAGGTCAAATTAACTATCCAAACCAAGCCTGATAGTGTTCATCCCTACATGCGTCACCCATGCAAGTTTGGTCAAAGTAGGGATTATTGTTACTTGGGAATGGATCTGCATTTGTTGGCAAGGAGGGTACCCATTTTTGATGCCCATTATATAATTTTTTATCATTGAAATCCACCTGATCTTTTGTCTATAAAACAGGCATTGGTTGCTGGAAATGTCATACATTTCAGTGAATATTTCTTTGGGATTTTTAACAAGTTTTACGGCAGCTATAATGAAGCTTTTATTTTCACTCTAGTTTACTGATTCTTTACCATTCGTTTATAATGCAGTGTCTCGAAAAGCCCTTGTTTCCCAGCTTCTCACGATGAAACTATGTGATGAAAACTGGTCACATAAACTGTTATAAATTCATGAAAGATTCAATAATGAGAGAAACTGAAGTTTAATGTCATATGATATCTGTAATGTATGTTATATAGTTCAGGACATTATTTATTGAACAGCCCTCGTATTTGGGAATGTACCTGCTCATAAAACTTTATTTTTTACTGATTAGCTATAGACAAAATTATAGAAAGTATATCCATATTCAATGTAAATTATACAGAAACGTATTTTTGCTATTTATCTACATAAACTATGAAGAATTTGTCTCAAGGTTTGTTGATTGCTATGCTTAATTTTTCTCTATAATTATTATTAATTTAAATGGTATATACGAGGCTTGTTCGAAAAGTTCGTGGATGATGTTTACCTTCATTATATTACTCACAAGAAATTGAAATAAGCACAATATAATATGTTAAAATATTTGTTTTGTTGATGAGTGATGCTTCCATTTAACTTCATTTTAAAACTCGCGAAGCACACTTAACGGCAATGTAAAGTCAAAACATAGCGTCAAAAATTTCATTTAAAAAATACTATGCCTATACATTTTAACACAGTATAATTTAATGCCCTGTCCATCAATCCTTTTTCAGATACTTGACATTCATTTTTAGCTCTACTGGTCAGAGACCAGAAGAGCTTATGCGATGGTAATGCGTCCGTCGTCCGTCCGTCTGTCTGTCTGTCTGTCTGTCTGTCTGTCCGTCTGTCTGTCTGTAAACAATTTTTCAAAATGCTACTCCTCCTACAGTTTTGGTCTGATTTCAATATAACTTGGCACACAAGTAGACTACACTAAGATACATAATTCTGTGTATCGGTTTTTGATTTCGATGAACGGTGTTGCCGTGGTTACTAAAAATAGAAATTTCTGTGAAATTCTTTCAAAATGCTACTCCTCCTACAGTTTTGGTCTGATTTCAATATAACTTGGCACACAAGTAGACTACACTAAGATACATAATTCTATGTATCGGTTTTTGATTTTGATGAACGGTGTTGCCGTGGTTACTAAAAATAGAAATTTCTGTGAAATTCTTTCAAAATGCTACTCCTCCTACAGTTTTGGTCTGATTTCAATATAACTTGGCACACAAGTAGACTACACTAAGATACATAATTCTGTGTATCGGTATTTGATTTCGATGAACGGTGTTGCCGTGGTTACTAAAAATAGAAATTTCTGTGAAATTCTTTCAAAATGCTACTCCTCCTACAGTTTTGGTCTGATTTCAATATAACTTGGCACACAAGTAGACTACACTAAGATACATAATTCTGTGTATCGGTTTTTGATTTTGATCAACGGTGTTGCCGTGGTTACTAAAAATAGAAATTTCTGTGAAATTCTTTCAAAATGCTACCCCTCCTACAGTTTTGGTCTGATTTCAATATAACGTCACACGCAAGTAGACTACACATTGATACATAATTCTGTGTATCGGTTTTTAATTTCGATGAACGATGTTGCCGTGGTTACTAAAAATAGAAATTTCTGTGAAATTCTTTCAAAATGCTACTCCTCCTACAGTTTTGGTCTGATTTCAATATAACTTGGCACACAAGTAGACTACACTAAGATACATAATTCTGTTTATCGGTATTTGATTTCGATGAACGGTGTTGCCGTGGTTACTAAAAATAGAAATTTCTGTGAAATTCTTTCAAAATGCTACTCCTCCTACAGTTTTGGTCTGATTTCAATATAACTTGGCACACAAGTAGACTACACTAAGATACATAATTCTGTATATCGGTTTTTGATTTTGATGAACGGTGTTGCCGTGGTTACTAAAAATAGAAATTTCTGTTAAATTCTCTCAAAATGCTACTCCAAATAACAGTTTTAGTCTGGTTATAATGTAATGTGGCATGCAAGTAGACTACACTAAGAACATAAAGAGACTTAATCAAGGATCATTATTCTATTTATTGCTGTTGAAAAGTTTCAATTTCTAACTGCTAAAGTACTTTTCTCTTCCTTTGCTATAAGTACAAACCAGTAGAGCTTCAGTCTCGACAGAGACTTCTGGTTTTAGAATATTTTTCATTGTATAATTTCCTTTGTTAAGGTTTCAATTGCTTATATTACTCTGCTTTCACAGGATAAGCAACTCTGAAGCGCCTATGTTTCCCTTGACATTCAAACGTTTTAAAGTTTTTGTTCAGATTTTTTCAAGTTTAACCGTTTCTTCACAGGTTGTCCTCATCCGATATGAAGTCACTTTCGCTCAAATACTGCTTGTATTATGTGTTTTAACATCTACAATTCGCTTGTGACATTTTTTGTTATTCCTAAAACATTTTTAGAGTTTATTCAGGATTTTTCATGAGTAAACACAAAATTGCATCTTTATCTGCTGCTCTGTGACGTTCTAAAACGTCATCGTTTTTGTCAATTTTAATGAGGACTATATATCTTCTTATAATAATTGATTTCTTTTCAATAAAGTAACATATTAAGCCATGATTTGCAATACAAATCGATTAAACAATTCTTAATACGAATTTCTGATTTTCTTTTTTGCTCCATTTTATGTAGAATATGACTACAGGCATAATTATTTAGTGTATTGTTTGTAACTTACTAAATTTTGACCTGCTCCGCAATCTGAATTTTGCATCATTTAAATCAGGATACGTTTTGAATAAATCGTGATATTTTAAAACAAATTATACAAATCATTTGGATTTATTGTTGGAAATATTCTACCAAATTTGGATAACATATGATATCAAATAAAAAGATATTTTCAAACATCCCTCGTATATCATTTTTTCTGCATAAAAATGATAATTGATCATGAATATATTCTTATTCAATAAAATACTGTACCTGTTGCTTTGGGTCTGAGTCCTTGTCTGCAATGAAATCAATATCAGCAAAATTAAGTTTGTGATAAAATACATGCATGTACAGATGTATGTCTTTTCACATCTAAAGAAATGTATCATAATACAACAGATTTTCCTCGCATTGACCAAAAACTCACCCTGAATCTGAATGTTCGTTTCTTATTTAAGGGAGATACAAGGGTTAATTATAACAGAATCATACAATTCCTTTTTTCCCGATATTTCATACAATACTGGCATTGTTTAATAGGATTTCCTCAAAAGCCAACTTTTGCTCAGAATCTGTACTCTAGATTAGCATCAGCACACACACCCCTCTCCCCTTCCCTCTCATGACATTGGCAATTTAGTTGGATATTTATTCCCCAGAAAGAGACAAAATCAATATTATATACATGTACTTAGTAAACAATTGGCAAAAAATACTAGTATTTAAAGAGGCTATGGAGTCAACAAATTAGCCACCAGATATATAACCTCATTTTTTAGACATGATTTCTGAAGCTGGCTAACTATCATTTGACAAAGAAAAAATTCATAAATTTTAGTTTGAAAATTTGATCATTTTATTATATATTTATATGGAGCTCTTCTAAAGAGATAATTGTCTAAATGGCCACAACCACCCGGCCCCTCCTTTTGTTACCATGGCTACAGTTAAAAATTTATGCAATTGATTATATGTAAGTTGCATGATTTTTATAGAAACCAGTTTGACCAGATGCAGAGAATAATTAGACATTAAATGCTTCCAAACTGGTTGAGCAGTTACTGAGAAAAATAAGATTCAATGTTCAATTTTAATATTTTGCATGTTTCAATAGAACAGGCCACTATTTTGAAAACTATATTAGATGTTGACTGACCAACTAGATGTTTTGATTATAATTTTTGTTAAGTTTCAAATCTACAGCAAGAGCACCTTTAGGGAAATTATAGAAGGGATACTTCTAACAATCTATCACCCCCTCGCCCTTTATATATAATCTTTTTATTGAGGAGAATTGGCTCTGTGGAAATTACATTACTAAGAAATAGCACATAGTTATAGGCCCCTTCCCTTCTGGAAAATTGCATCTGGTGTGGGATTTCTCTTGGAGAATTTCTACCTGTAGAGAGTATTTTCCATAGATGTCGAGATTATTCTTTACAGACAGTTTTCCAGATTTTTTTCTTCTTACTTTTAAGAATAGCATAGACAGCAATGTTTTTATAACCAGATTATCTAGAACTAATCTAAGTTTGGTTAAACGTAACATTCTATTTAATGGGAAAAAAAATTAAAACCATAACTGTGTTGCCTATGTCACAGTGACTAACTTCAAACTAAATTGATCTGTTTTTAATGAGTGTTGTCTATGTCACAATCATATCAATCTGTTACCATTCAATTAAAAATGTACCATTTAAAGGCATTTATTTTAAAACTTTCATGTATTTGATTTTTTTCTAACAATAAGCAAATTAAATATCAAGCTTTAAGATTATTGACACTTATGACATTTCAGTACCACTTTATCACTATTCAATTTGTGGAGATTTTTCCTTTGAGATCCCTTCATATTACAGGAATTTTATTGCCTATATAATTATTATAAAGAATTATTATAAAGAATAACTATGCTTCAAGAATATAACAGTGCTTCAATTTTAAGAAATTTAGACATTTGATAAAAATAATTTTAGTTAAATCAATTAAGGGAGCAGACTGGGGTTTTATTGTTTGAAAACTACCATTGAGAAACTTCGTTTTTATACCATATATAACTTACATTGACTTCAGTGTACATGTCATGTTTGGGGAAAATCTACCGTCCAGATATTTTTAAGGGACTGTATCAACATATCTGACTCATTTTGGTTTTATATATTTGTCTTTGTCATAATGCTACAGATCCTGTAATGCAAAAAAGGTGCGATTCATGGCACAATATTTCTTGCACACTCTTGCGGAGAATTTCTCCACTTTCCAGCAGAGTTAGTTGATCATGTGTCCTTCATCCCCTTAACCAGGGCAAGACCATTAGATTCTCAGATATCAGCATAAATCTTCATGTAAATCAGCTATCTATTTAATTTAGGGATTGTTGAATTAGTCACAAAGCATTATGGAGTACAACAAGTATCAATACAAAGTCAGTCGTGTGGAAGAGAGAAGGGGGAACTTAAATTGTCCTTCAGAAATTCAGTTTCAATCCTTTTTTGATGTTAATGAAAGAAACAAAATTTTGTTTAAAGTTTGTGTAAAAGGGCGAAAATAAAGCGGGGTGAAAATAACCCAGGTGTATACAGTATTTTGTTTTTCAATAGTACCTGTTACAGTGTTATCCCCACAGCCTTCGTTCCACAAATTTCCAGGAAAACTCCCACTCCATTTAACTTTTTCAGGATCTTTTTTCTTTAGGACGATTTTCTCCGTGGTTTCATTTGTATACTCTAGATCAGCATAATTAGAAGTAAATAATACACTAGAGAAGAATTTGCATGTACTTATCTCAAGCAATTTAATTCATTTTCTCCAAACTATTTGCCCAAATGTTTAAATCAATACATGTATATGTATATTATATTAATTATTGTGTTATTTATGAAACTGATAAAGCAACAAGTTAAAATCTTGTTTAAATGAATTATAGTACATTGTAAACAAGACGCCCAGGGGTCACAGTGCTCACCTGAGTACATCAGCTAAGAAAAAAATCATATCATGATTTGGACGAACTAGAATCTACACTACCTGAGGATAATTCTACATAAATATTACTAATTATGGCTTTGAAGTACTTGAAAAGAAGATTTTAAAAGGTTTCCCTATATATTCCTATGAGAATTTTTGGTTGGCCATTTTGGCCCCACCCTACCCCTGGGGTCATGATTTGAACAAACTTGAATCTACACTACCTGAGAATAATTTCACATAAGTTTCATCTTTCCTGTCTCAGTGGTTCTTGAGAAGAAGATTTTTAAAGATTTTTCCTATATCTTCCTATGTAAAACTTTGATCGGCCATATTGACCCCACCCTACCTCCAGGGGTCATGATTGAACAAACTTGAATCTACACTATCAGAGGATGATTCCACATGAGTTTCATCTTTCCTGATGAAGTGGTTCTTGAGAAGTAGATTTTTAAAGATTTTTTTCGATATACTCCTATGTAAAACTTTGATCAGCCATTTTGGCCCCACCCTACCCCTGGGGGTCATGATTTGAACAAACTTGAATCTACACTATCAGAGGATGATTCCACATGAGTTTCATCTTTCCTGATAAAGTAATTCTTGAGAAGAAGATTTTTAAAGATTTTCTCTGATATACTCCTATGTAAAACTTTGATCAGCCATTTTGGCCCCACCCTACCCCTGGGGGTCATGATTTGAACAAACTTGAATCTACACTATCAGAGGATGATTCCACATGAGTTTCATCTTTCCTGATAAAGTAATTCTTGAGAAGAAGATTTTTAAAGATTTTCTCTGATATACTCCTATGTAAAACTTTGATCAGCCATTTTGGCCCCACCCTACCCCTGGGGGTCATGATTTGAACAAACTTAAATCTACACTATCTGCGGATGATTCCCTATGAGTTTAATCTTTCCTGGCCCAGTGGTTCTTGAGAAGAAGATTTTAAAAAGATTGTTCCTATATCTTCCTATGTTTAACTTTAATTGGCCATTTTGGCCCCACCCTACCCCTGGGAGTCATGATTTGAACAAACTTGAATCTACACTATTTGAGGATGATTCCACATGAGTTTCATCTTTCGTTCTTGAGAAGAAGATTTTTTAAAAGTGCCATTAATTTTTCTCAAATTCATAATAATCTCCCCTTGGGAAAGAGTGTGGCCCTTCATTTGAACAAACTTGGTTTCCCTTTACCCAAGGATACTTTGTAGAAAGTTTGGTTGAAATTGGCCCAGTGGTTCTTGAGAAGAAGACAAACATAGGTAATCAGAGATTACAGAGCTCACCTCAACGAATGTTGTCTTTAAGTAAGGCAAAGTCACACAATTAACCAACAAAAAGTGTACATTCCAAAAATGAAAATATTTAAGCAATTTTGATCTGATACTTTGAAATAGACCTACATAAACAATTTAAACTAGTTCTTCTTCATGAAAATGTAATCAAAATCCAGCATCTGAAGCAAATTTGAGAATTTTCATTTCTTGATGAAAACTTTAACCTATTCACTCAACCGCAAAATGTAGGTCAGATTCAGCATCCGAAGCAAGCTTGGTAGTGTGCATCCTTAGATGTATCATCCATGCAAGTTTGGTCAACATACGGCTTATAGTTACTTGGAAATGAGACCTGCACCAAAAACTTTAACCTGTTCACTCAACCACAAAATGTAGGTCAGATTCAGCATCCGAAGCAAGCCCGGTAGTGTGCATCCTTAGATGTATCATCCATGCAAGTTTGGTCAACATAGGTCTCATAGTTACTTGGAAATGAAACCTACACCAAAAACTTTAACCTGTTCACTCAACCGGAAAATGTAGGTCAGATTCAGCATCCGAAGCAAGCCCCGTAGTATGCATCCTTAGATGTATCATCCATGCAAGTTTGGTCAACATAGGGCATATAGTTACTTGGAAATGAGACCTGCACCAAAAACTTTAACCTGTTCACTCAACCGGAAAATGTAGGTCAGATTCAGCATCCGAAGCAAGCCCGGTTGTATGCATCCTTAGATGTATCATCCATGCAAGTTTGGTCAACATAGGTCTCATAGTTACTTGGAAATGAAACCTGCACCAAAACTTTAACCTGTTCACTCAACCGGAAAATGTAGGTCAGATTCAGCATCCGAAGCAAGCCCGGTAATATCCATCCTTAGATGTATCATCCATGCAAGTTTGGTCAACATAGGTCTCATAGTTACTTGGAAATGAAACCTACACCAAAAACTGCACCAAAAATGTTAACCTGCTCCAAAAACATTAACCTGGTCATTCCTTTGCTGAAATTGCAGCATCTGAAACTTTGACTGGTACAATGAAACACACTAGCAACATCTTCCATGCATGTCTAATCAATATAGGACATAGAAGTACTTAAAAAGAAAACTGCTCCAAAAAACTTAACCTTAACCTGGGACGCTGACGCCGAGGGTATTACATAAGCTCCCCCAACTTCGTTGAGGTAAGCTAAAAATGTGAAAAGTTAACAATTAATGACAACAACGATGATGACGAAGACGACGACAACAACAACAACGACAGACAACGGACAAATTTTGATCAGAAAAGCTCACTTGAGCCTTTGGCTCATGTGAGCTAAAAATTACCATTACCTTGTTTTTAAAATTGTTAATTACCTTTTTGATAGTTTTCTTGTTTATCCTCTTGTTTATCTTCCTCATCAGTAAAAGCAACAACTTCATTTGAAAAACCAGACATATTGTATCTTTCTTCATTTGATGCTGGCAATGAATTTTTCATTTCAGCCATTCCTGTTCAATTTCAAATAATGAATTTATTATCAAAATCATCCATATGTGCCTTTATGAAAATCCTGATGAATGTAAGGTAACTCTATATTTCAAAGAACATATGATAATTAATTTTTAAACAAAAGTTACTTGATGATGTATCAAAACTTGAACTTTCAAGGGAAAAGACATAAGTTTTATTGTGTAAAAACTGAGAAAATTTTATTTTAACGACGTTCGATCCTGATATTGAAAGTCTTTAACTTTTTTTGCCAAGTATATTTTAAGTTTCTACTTACATATCTTAATAAAAATTCAAATTAAAAAATGGGGGTCAATATGCTTCTTTTGGTGCTACAATACATTTAATATGACCTTCTTGCACTGAAATTTGTGTCTTAATTAAAAATTACATCTTCGACATTTTGCCTGCAATGTTTTTATCCAATTACAGCAAGAAACAAAATGAACTCCAAGTCTGTTTAAAAAAAGACACTTTAAAATTGTAACTAAGAAAAAGTTTCAAATTACTTCGCATAATCAATTATTTGACCTTTCTGCACTAATAAAATGTGATTTTTTTGGCATTGAAAATTTAATAAGCATGAAAATTATTTTAATGTCAAAACTTTTCCTGAATTTAAGCAAATAGGTCAAAGTTATCTTGAATATTTAGAAAAGAACATCAAAAGTGGGGGCATATGATGTTAATTTTCAGATATTACTAAAAAAAAGTGTCAATTTTACGTTAAATTTGGCTCAATTTTCCCCCGTGTTTTCAGAATATTTTTACTATATATGTCACACTTTGTTGATAGAATTCATAAGAAATAATTAAATAGATATTTCAGAACCAGCATGACACATTTTACCGCAAAAAACAGCTTCGTGTGCCACCAGCATGGAAAAATAGGAATCCAAAATAAAGAGTACTGTTATAGTTCAAAATGGAAAAACTGATGATTTTCTTCTAAAAAACCTTCCGTCACAAAATATAGTCCCTAGTTTAATTCAATTTGAATGGACTTTAATTGCGGTTTTTTTCATTGAATATAGTTCAATTTGCATTGTAGAATTCAGATTTAATGTTAGAATTTAAAATGATGCAGAATTTTATAAATAAAGGACATGACCAAAATCCACTCAAAAACTCAGGATCTAACGTCCTTAAATTCTTAAAGTTACTTGCCTTAAGTTCAGTTTATATTAATTTTAATTTATCAAAAGGCGAACTTGTGATGACAAAATTTAAAAATTTTCAGAGTAAAAAGACTTCATATTGTAAAAAAAAATACATGTAGGTGAAAAAGGAATTTTGATTATTTTAATTTTTTTTATTTGAATTGTGTTATGAGTATATATACACTTGATTTTACTATAAACATCCTATAACTCATACATTAATATCGACAAATTCAGACTTTAACTTGAACCTTCTATTTCAATTTTTTAATTACCCGATAAACAACTTTCCTTGCCTTTAGGATTTTTTTCATGTAATTTTTCCATGTTGCCTTGCTGTGCTTTCAATTTAAAAAAATATATATTTTTAATTTCAATTACAGGGTATAGTAATTTCATGGATATTTCTTCCTAATACTACTAGCTGTTACATTTTACACAGCAGCCTAATCATCTTTTGACAAAATTCTGTGCACATGGTGCAGCGGTGTATGGGAAATTACGCTGACAAACTGTTCATCTCTATATTCAAGATACATGGCCAAAAATCTAAGTTGAAAAGTGCCGAAATTCCCGGAAACAATAAAGGAATCGGAATTTCCTTGTAAAATGCACATCTACGCATTGTGTCCTAAATAATTGCGCCCCGTGGGGATCCGGGTTAGAATAGGTCCTCAGTACCCCCTTGCTTGTTGTAAAAGGCAACTAAAGGGGGCGGTCCTTCGGATAAGACCATATAAGCCGAGGCCCCGTGTCCCAGCAGGTGTGGCACGATAAAGATCCCTCCCTGCTCAAAGAACGTAAGTTTCAAGCATAGGCCTAAATATGCTGCCCTTCACCGACAATGGTGACGTCTCCATATCAGTGAAATATTCTGGAGACGGACGTTAAACAGTATACAACAATCAATCAGTCTAAATATGTGCAAAGTCTGACCAAATTTTTTGCAGCGGTTTATGAGGAGTTGAGCTGATAAACTGCTCATCTCTATATTCAAGGTATGGCCAAAAATCTAAGTTGAAAAGTGCCGAAATTTCCCCCAAAAATAAAAGAATCATAATTTTCTGGTAATGTGCTCATCTACATATTGTGTCCTAAATATGTGCAAAGTTTGACCAAATTTTTTGCAGAGGTTTATGAGGAGTTTTGCTGACAGACACCACTTTTTAAAAACATTTTCGTATTGACACTAAGGGCCACATGGGAACTCGGTTTATAAATACAGTATCATCCAAAGGACTGCTCTATACATTTCGCAGTGAGATTTAAATCAGCAATATAAGGATCAACTCCTTACTCTATGACTGGAGAGTTGTCGCTCTAAGTCCTGTGCCATGCAGGCAACTAACTGGTTTGCAAACGTTACAAACTGATTCATACAGACTGGTAATGGAGTTTTATGAAGGCCGGGACTTACTTTTACATTTGAAAGCTGACTTTTACATTTTAGTAATTGGAGTTTATCTCTGTTTAAATTGTAAAAGTCAGTTGTCGATTGTAAAAGTAAGTCTCTTCATAAAACTTCAATACAAGCTTACTTTAATATTTTTTAAAGAAAATATTCTTAAATTTTCGGAAAACACAAATATTTAAGTTTAATGAAGACAATCTATATCCTAAGGCAATGATGGAAAATGGCCAAATCAGCAAATCTAAGTTAAAAATGTGAACGTATTCGATGAACATCTATCACATATGTCTGATAAGTTTTTGGCTTGGGTGATAAAAAATTACCTGCTCCAGAGAGTGTAAATTGACAATCACAACAAAAAGCAATATTGAATACTGGTATATAATCAGCTCATTATTGGGTTCTCAAATCCATGACGTGTGTATTGATATACTGTAAATTTAAATTAAAAAAAAACAACATACTTTTATCTGATTCTTGTATGGGCATTCCAAACTCCTCATCATCTTCAACCTCATATTTCAACTCTACAAAGAAGAAAGTCAATCATACAAGTATGTTACATGCATATAGTTAATAGCTTATAATATTTTCATAATGAAGATGTTGAAATTTATTATATGTCATTCTATGAAGAAGAAAAAAATGTATAAGCCCAAAGGCCAAAACCAGTCACATTACTCCTCATGAATTAAAAACATTTTTTACAGATTTCTTTCCTCTAATAAAAGATCTTAATATTAAACAAATTAAAAGGCCCATGTGCCATAATGCTTGTCTAAATGGCTTTGATATTGCGGTTCTTCACCATATTTTACTACGTTGAAATAACTTTTGTGACCCCACCTTACACTACGGGATCATGATTTAACCAATTTAGAGTATACACTACCCGAAGATGATTTCGTATATTAGTTTTATCTTTTCTTGAACGGTGGTTCTTGAGAATATTTTTAAATAATGAATTATGCATTTCTATGAAAAACATTATCAATATGAAGACCACCTTTTACCAAAATTATCTAAATGTAATGAAGTGTAGTCATATGCAAAGCAAATAAAATCATTCAAAAGTTGTTTTCTTGCACTTGGTTAAGGGTGGTCCTAGGCAACAATTTGTCATTCTTCAGGGGGATACCTCAATATTTACTATATACTCAATATAAACTGAATAATTTTAATATCTATCAAATGATGGTACTATTAATATTTAAATATCATTTTTGTATGATTTAGTTTAAGGTAGGTATAAACTTGAATTGTATCAAATGACAAAAATTAGGTTAAACAATGTATTGAATAAATCACTACTACAGTAGGTAAAAAATGACTATCAAATGCGCTATGGCTCTTTTACTGATAATGTTTGATAATTACTGATACGGTGCTGTTCTTGCTGATAATTACTGATATTTACTGTTATTAAGGTCTTCTGTTTCCAACGGAAGACCTTCTACTGATTCTGTTGGTAAAGATTATTATTCTTTTTTTTCTTCTGCTTCCTAGACCGCATCTTTGAAGCCTCATATCTCACTCATTTCTTAACGGATTTCGCTCAAATTTTCAGGTTATAGACGTATATAAACTCTATCAGAATGCCGACTAAAATTTCAAAAAGTCACTTCCGGTTTTGAGTTATTTCCCTTTAAACAAAAATTTATAGGCTTTCGTTTCCAGACAAAGGCTCAGAGACGGCTAAAGCTGGAGCAGAAATTCTACTGATTTTAGATAATAGAAGGATTGAAGTTGTGCACATTTGTTTTTGTTTTTCGATTTCTCTATTCAAAATGGCGTTATATAGGGGTCAAAAATTAAAACGCTTAAAAGAACCAAAAATTACATATATTTTGCTTCTTATCTTCTAAACTAAAAATATTTTGCTAAAATGTATTGAACATAATTTGTGCAGAATTAGAAGATCTTTCAAATGATATGTCGGAAAAATGGCTGACCCCTAAATTAAGGGATCTAGAGGGGCCAAAAGATTTTTCCAGATATCTCAAAAAGTATTGAGAATTTTATATACATCAAAGAAGCAAAGTTGTTGAAAATGTCTAGCTTAATCTAATGGAGTCGTCAAAATACGTCCAGCGTCGTCACTTCCTGCCAAACCGGAAGTAGTCGGAAAATGCGTATATTTGCCGTTTTTGACAAGTTTTTGGGCAACATATGTCTCTGGGAGCTTAAAAATTAATTTTTAGTGCGTCGTCGTCACTTCCGGTCAAACCAGAAGTATCAAAAAATGGCTTATTTTTGCATTAATTTACATAGCTTTAGAGGATTCAAAGCATTTTTGGGCGTTATTTCTCATTTTTGTTAAAATGAAAGCTACTTCCGGTCAAACAGTACGGAAGACCTACTTGTTGCTTTGCAACGAGCTTTGCTCTAGTTATTACTGATGTTGCTGATAATGTTAGTTGTTTCTGATAAATACTGATAATTACTTTCGTCTTTACTGTCGAGTCTGATAAATACTGTTGATATGATGTCGTTGCTGAAATTTACTGATAATTACTTAGGCCACTTTTTAAGCTGGGAAGGGGCTAAAATAGAATTGAGGGTTATAAAAATACTAGTCTACTTTCTTTTAATTAAACAATCATGACGGCATTTTCATATGACAACAATAACATTGATCTCAATTCATTACTACAATACGGTTGTGAAAATGTTGACAAATTATAATAATAATTTAAATGAAATCTCTTCAGAGTACAGTAGGCAAATGTTTTCTACAAAGCTATGAAGATAGTATAATTTATTTGTAAGCATGATGAATGGAATTGTTTTAACTCGATCAACTGGTAAAGAGAGGACAAAATGTTCTTTTTACAAAAGGCCTTTCATAGACTTTTTTTTCTTAAATATATTTATTTTTAGATCTTCCCAGAATATAACTCTTCTGCTTGTATATGTACAAGGTACACATTGCGCAATCGGAAAATGGGGCTGATTAAAATTTAGATCCCAAGTGTAAGTCCAAAGGTACAACGTGATGTGTATATGTAATTTTTGATGTTTATGGTTAATTAAATTCTATGACACAAATTCATCTGAAGAAACTTGAATCCCCTTCACCTACGTATACTTTGTGGCAAGTTTGGTGGGAATTGGCCAAGTGGATCCTCAGAAAAGTCGAAAATGTAAAGTTTTTATAGATGGACGGACAAATAGATAGAGGGACGGACGACGGACAAAACATGATCAGAAGATGAATATGTGAAAAATTTACGACGACAAAAACAACGATAAAGGACAAATTTTGATCACAAAAGCTCACTTGAGCCTTCGGCTAAGGTGAGCTAAAAAGCTAATAGATGGACTGACGGACAGGCATGAACGATATTATACACATCTCACATGACCTTGAGGGTGACATTTTATATATATTATCGAGGGCAGTATACCATAATATTTGCCCCAATGTTACAGGAAAGCCCTGGAGTGTTATGTCGCCCGATGCTTTCCTGTCACCGAGGACATATTCTGGTATTGCTGCCTGAGAATTAAGCCATGGAATATATGGTATATAACATTGTTAAACATTAAAACAAAATCGATCATCGAACATATTTATTGAACACTATGCATACATGTACGTTGAATATACATGTAATTCCGAAATATCCCGTCCTGTGTCATGGCAGAAATTTTTTCGGTATGCTTACACTTGTGTTGATAACCTTTGCTGTATTTAAGGACCCTCTCTAAACCAGTACAAAATATTTTTTGGATATTGGGAAAAATTTATTGCATAAAGGAGCTAATTATATTGTGCGTATCTATCTAATTTTTAATGCATGGTGCTTGGCATTTAACCCCTAAAAAATGTTCAAAGACAACACAGTATCAGTGAATAGATATGATCGCTGTTCTTTACTTCAGTAGAGAAAATACATGTAAAAAAAAAATACATGTAAATAACACGCTCAGTTAATTTATCCTGGCCTTTTAAAATGAAAAGAATACCGTAATTTCCGGGTTATAGGTCGATACTTTTTTTCTCAGAACTGCTGGGGTCGCCCAATATACGAATTCGACCTTTCTAAGGCTCAAGTTTATGAAAAATGTCCCAAAATCAGTAAAATTTACGTAAATTTCAGAGCAAATTTGTGCCACTTCCGTAACTTTTTTGATTATTTTCGCAAAAAAATTAATGCATAGGTAAACAATAAAATATTTATTCTATAGCTTTCTTACAAAATAAATTCCATTAAATATCCGTTGATGACAAAGGAAAAAACTGTGCTTTATCAAGTTAATAATTCCTCAACGTGTTATCTATTGCCATCATGCGGTAGCCATCTTGTGAAGTTAGGAAGTCTCTACCGTTTACTAAAAGTAAAAGTCGCTACCGTTTACTAAAAGTAAAACCGCAACTGTATCAAAATTTAAAATACGGAAAAATTTTCAAGATCACAAGTGTTGTGTTTTACCATTAATTAGTAGATTGATAACTTGAAATACCGGGTAGTATTAATTTTTTTTATATAACCCAGAAATTACGGTACTTGAATTGATTATAAATTGAGAAATATTGTTTTTTAGAATTTTTTTTTAAAATTAACTTCTAAGGGCAGATCACTCTAACTGACTGAGGAAAAATACCTTAGAATCAGAAATCTTTAGTGTACAGTGTAGAGAGGTTTCTTAAGGAATTTCCTCCTCAATTAAATTATGTAATTCCTCTCAAAGAAACAAATAGGAGACGATATCCTGACTTTTTAATTTTTCGCGGAACTGTTTATATTTGCTCAACAACTGCTTCTGTGAATTTCGAACTTAATCTAATTAAAATAAGATCTTAGATGCGCTCCAGTTTGATCACTACACAAAGATCTTCTTTGTGTAGCAATCAAACTGGAGCAGATCAAAGTTCTTATTTTAATTAGATTGGATAAAAACATTATATTTGTTATATAATTGGAAAACTTCTTCAAAAATGTTATATTAAATTATACTCCCCTCTAAAGATGCTCGTATTAGAACAAGAGGCCCATGGGCCACATCGCTCACCTGAGAAGCTTTGTCCATTCTGCTTTTTACCAGATTTCCCCCTTGTTATACATAATGCATCCCCACCCTACCCCACTGATCATAATTTAGACATTTTGAAATCTACACTACCCCATGATCCCTCCATGGGCACATATGTTTCAGCCTTTTGGCCCATTGGTTCCTGAGAAGATTTTCAAAGATTTTTCCTATATATTTCTATATAAAACTTTGATACCCCATTGTGGCCCAGCCCTTCCCCTGGGGGTCATGATTTGAACAATTTAGAATCTACACTATACCAGGATGCTTCCACATAAGTTTCAGCTTTTCTGGCCCAGTGGTTCTTGAGAAGCTTTTCAAAGATTTTTCCTATATATTTCTATGTAAAACTTTGATTCCCCATTGTGGCCCCACGCTTCCCCAGGGGGTCATGATTTGGGCAATCTAGAATCTACACTATACCAGGATGCTTCCACATAAGTTTCAGCTTTTCTGGCCCAGTGGTTCTTGAGAAGAAGATTTTCAAAGATTTTTCCTATATATTTCTATATAAAACTTTGATTCCCCATTGTGGCCCCGCGCTTCCCCCGGGGGTCATTATTTAAACAATTTAGAATTTACACTATACCAGGATGCTTCCACATAAGTTTTAGCTTTTCTGGTCCAGTGGTTCTTGAGAAGAATATTTTCAAAGATTTTTCCTATATATTTCTATGTAAAACTTTGATACCCCATTGTGGCCCAGCCATTCCCCTGGGGGTCATCAGGCGCGTAGCTGCTGATACGCAAGTACGCAAGTGCGTACACATCATTTTCAAAAAAAAAAAAAAGGAAGGAAAAGAAAAAAAGAAAAAAGAATAAAAAGAAAGAGAGAGATTTATTTGGAGAAAAAGAGGCACTATCTGTCTTTCAAATTAGTTTACGTCTTATTTTTTCTATTCAAATTTTGTTCAGAATATCGTTATAATCCAGTCTTTTATAAATTGAATTCCAACATTTTTGAGTAAGAAAATATTGTTGAATCAAATTTTCAACTTTTAATCTGCGTAATCCTGATTATCCAAACAAATACATGTATTTGATGAAGGAAAGCGATCTAAGTTATATTGATCTAAAGAAAAAGTTACAAGGGTCTTGGACGACTATACAAGAATTTACGTTGAAGTAATGAATAAATATCGATAAAGTGGCAAAATGGCAAAATTCAAATTACTTAACAAAGTAAATAAAAATATAGATTATTTAAGAAGATCTTCTTTTACTGATGTTACCAGTTTATAGAATTTAAGTACTCCCACATTGTTTAAGCTAACAGAACATAAAGGACCACACACCCCTTTATATTTTGAAATACTTTATAACTCCAATGATAACTTATTAAATTACTTCTTGTCACACTTGGAAACTTTTTTTTTTTTAATACCAATATATTCGTAAATTAATTTGATTAAATTATCCTTCTCTTCTTGAAATATCCATGGAAGTATAACTTAGCTAAGTGTTTGCTTGAGAAAAGAGATGTAGAATGATTTCTTTTAAAGGAAAATGACTGAAACATTTCGTAAAATCCAGGAGCTTCCGGGGGCTTTGCCCCCTGGCCCCCCACCAGGGCTTCGCCCTGGACCCACTGGGGGGCTTAGGGCGGCCCCCAGACCCCAGAACATTTTCTGCGTACACTTCATTTCAATGCTGGCTACACGCCTGGTCATGATTTGAACAATTTAGAATCTACACTATACCAGGATGCTTTCACATAAGTTTCAGCTTTTCTGGCCCAGTGGTTCTTGAGAAGAAGATTTTCAAAGATTTTTCCTATATATTTCTATATAAAACTTTGATTCCCCATTGTGGCCCCGCCCTTCCCCCGGGGGTCATTATTTAAACAATTTAGAATCTACATTATACCAGGATGCTTCCACATAAGTTTCAGCTTTTCTGGCCCAGTGGTTCTTGAGAAGAATATTTTCAAAGATTTTTCCTTTATATTTCTATGTAAAACTTTGATACCCCATTGTGGCCCCGCCCTTCCCCCGGGGGTCATGATTTGAACAATTTAGAATCTACACTATACCAGGATGCTTTCATATACCGTATAACGGGTATTTTCTGCGGTTGGAAATTTTTGCGATTGAACCCCTAAAAGGTAGCAAATTAATTTTTGCTTTTTCAATTTCTGCAGTTGCACTATACCGCAAAAATTTATTTACGGGGTACAGTATAGGATCATCAAACTCTAAGATTTATTACAACACTGCCATGATTACGTTTTGTAAATTCACTCAGGCACATGAATGAAAGGTGCATGAGAACAGGTATTACGCTATTATACTTGATTAAACTACTACAGCTTTTAGTTCCTCTTTGTAAAATTATGCCTAGTCCCAAATGAAAATAATTATTTTTGTAACAGTACTAGTCCTCTCAAACAACAATTAAAATCATTATTCTAACACCGTAGATGTTAATTTTATATGTTCTATCAAAATAATTTAAATAAATTTATAAATAACGATAATTAATGCCTCCAAGCCATATTCTAAATAACATGTACACTTAAAATTAATTGCTATCAAAATTAAATCGGGATTTTCATCCTAAGCTAAAACAAACAGTTGCATAATTAACCACCTCAAAAATCACAAGTGTCACGCGCATTGAGGCGTAACTAATACTGTCAGTCGTCTGATTTGAATAAATTCACGAGACAAGCCATGTTGTATACACAAGCAGTTATTTTAATTACGGTCTCAAAACAATTCACAGGATTAATATTGAAAATGTGGAGAATAAGAAAGAAAAATTGCCATATTTCATATGTGGCTATCACGGAGTTTCGATATCACCCGAATTTTCTCGCTAATGAAGACGCGTCCACGCATGAGTCCGCAGAAACACCACTTATTATACTTGAATGTTTGAATACATGAAGTCATATTAAAAAATTTTGCGATTGTAATTTTTGCCGATTTGTTCTATCCGCAAAATTCCGCAAAAATTGGACAACCGCAGAAAATACCCGTTATACGGTAAGTTTCAGCTTTTCTGGCCCAGTGGTTCTTGAGAAGAATATTTTCAAAGATTTTTCCTTTATATTTCTATATAAAACTTTGATTACCCATTGTGGCCCCGCCCTTCCCCCAGGGGTCATTATTTGAACAATTTAGAATCTACTCTATACCAGGATGCTTCAACATATGTTTCAGCTTTTCTGGCCCAGTGGTTCTTGAGAAGAAGATCTTTTAATGACCCAACCCTATTTTTGTCTTTTCTTGATTATCTCCCCTTGCGAGGGGATATGTCCCTTCATTTTAACAATTTAAATTCCCTTTTACCCAAGGATGCTTTGTACAAAGTTTGGTCAAAATAGGCCCAGTGGTTCTTGAGAAGAAGTCGAAAATGTGAAAAGTTTACAGACGGACAGACAGATGGACAGCTAGACGGACAGACAGACGGAAGGGCGACGGAAAAAATGTGATCAGAAAAGCTCACTTGAGCCTTCGGCTCAGGTGAGCTAAATATGACAGACACATTTGACACAATATAAACAAAAAAGCTCCATTTCGCCTTTAATGACTCAAGTGAGCAAACAAACATTACAAACAACATTTACCGTTTATTTTCTCCTCGATCGGAGCAAGTCTAGTTTCAATCTCTTTAATTTCCTCCTCTATTTCTTTGCATTTTGCCATGGGATTTGAAGATCTATTTTCAATAAGTGTCATTTCAACTTCCATGTCGGATATATCTTTTTCTGCATAATATATTCTGCCTTTTCCACAAAGATTTGTCATGACACGCATAAGTTCATCCACCGTCAATTGTAAATCTCTTATTCGCTTCTGAAAATTTGAAGGGAAAAACAATAAAAAAAATTAAATCAAAAAGTTTATCAAATACTTTTTTGTGGCACATGATTATTATCATCAATAGTATACACAGTGGTAAACATTATTTATTCATCATGTAAAAATTGATAAATACATTTAATTTTTTTCACTTTTTATTATTTGCAAAAGGAATACAGTTTTGTGCAAACTGACACAAAATTTCATGTAAATTATTTAGGCTTTTTGTTACTCTTAAACCCAAAAGATATATGCAACATTTATACTTTTTTTTAAAATATAAGAAAATATATGAAAACTAGGTACTGTGAGCAAAGAGCTAACTAAATGATACCCCTGCCTCCCATATAAATATAACGAGAAACACAAAATATGTATCGGATCAAAAAGTAAACAAGAGGCCCACGGGCCTTATAGGTCACCTGAGTATCATGTAACAACTTTCCAGCGATTGTATTTGGTTCGTGTTTTAATCCAAAAGCCATGAAATTCACAAATTTTGAAGAAGGCACCATTGCTTATCAAAGGGCAAATTTCAAAGCATTAATTTATTTTTAGTCAAAGTACCCCCCTGGTACCCCTGACCCAGCGTCTCTGAAAGTATCTATTTTGAAAGAGGCCCCTTTCTTCATTATAAGGCCAGCATTTTTTTTGTTTAGGTTTAGTTATGAGCATGAGAATAAAAAAGTCCCAAAGGAGAAGGAAATCAAAATTTTTTTTTGATAAATCAATTATTAACATTTGTACATTCTTTTTTTATGCTATTATAATAGGCTCCTTACCAATGGACACATAATGCTTACAAATAGGAAAGTAAAACATTTAATTGCTTATTTCATCATCTGCCAGTTTGGGCCAGTTATATAAATTTTGTGATGTTGGTCAAAATATATTTTAAAAAATCAAGTCTTTCAATATATCTTCATTTTTTTTAATATGTGTTAGCTAGGTGAATGTGTAGACATTGTTCTAAAATTTAATCCTATCATAAAACAGACAGGGGGTATTGCGGGTGTAGGGTGAACATTTTTTCAATCAAGTGTAAAATAATTTTTCTGGCTGATACAAATAATACTACATGCCTGTATATATTTGTATATTCTTGCCTTAACAATTTCTTCCTCAAATGGACTGAACTTCTCCCATAGTTTTATTCATTACATCTGATGCATAAGCAACCCTTTTCTGAAGAATGATGCTTAGACTGTAAGCTGTAACAGAGACCTAAACAATGTTGCTGCCCGCTGGCAATATGCAAAAGCTACCACGGGCAGTTTAAAACCTGGGGGAGGAAAATAATTTACAGACAGATACTTTTAAAACGAATACATAATTATCTCACCAGCATGTCATTGTGCAACAAAGACGTCAGCATTTTATTTGTCCTTTGAACAGGTGAAACTTTTTGAATGGCATGTAACGGACCTGAGCTGCTTGGATCTCACACACAAGTACTTTAAATGCCTACGCGGGAATAACCCATGTAGTATTCTGATGATTAACGAGAATAACCCGTAAATAAAGATCTCCTATAATAACACAAGAATTACCTGTGTTTGGACTCGTAAATAACTACGGGGAAGTTAAATGATAAGCCTTATTTAAAGTTTACAAATTTATTCAATAAATAAAAGTCACAATATGTATTAATTAATATTCAATTACAATAAAATTCAATGGAAGTCGGGAATCACCCAAATTCACAATGAATTGCTACACTAACACAACCTTCGTATTACGTTAATACGATAAAAGGGGGGGGGGGCGCACTAAACGAGAATGACCCGAATAGTGAGTAATAAATACTATAGAAATACCTTAGAATAACCAAAGTATTTCTGAAAGAATCTACACAATCTATAAAAGCTATTTAAAGCAAGAAATTTATCTCTATAATTTCTATATCAAATCCTAGCCTTAATTCCTGCTTGAATATTCCAATAAACGCAACTAAATTATCAATTTAAATTGATTGAATTCCTAAATTCTATCAAAGATAAACAATTATTTACACGGAAAGACTTCAAGACTCACTTTCAGTCAAACCGTAACAAAATTATTTAATCGTTTAATATCGAGATTAACCCAATATAAACGTCCTACAATAAATACTAGTAATTTATAAGTGAAACGAGATTAACCTGTATTCACTCTAAGAAAAATTGATGAATTAATTCAAAAATTACTAAATTCCTAATGAAAAATGCTAAGAATCAAATAAACAACCGCTAACCTCAAAATCTAAATGCCGAGTCCACCGGCAGTTCTTATCCTCTGCTTATATAGCTCTGGAGAGTCCCCCCGGAAACCCACGCGCTTCCCTAGGGACGACCGGCAGATCTCCGGTACCACCGGCAGTCACCGGCAGCCACCGGCAATAATCATTGTCAAATAATGTTTAACAATAACAATAGATAATCAACATAAAAAATATGACAATCATAATATAAAACATTTATACAAAATGACAATATTCCCTAAGTATTAGATTTCGATAAAAATGCTTAATACAGAGAAATTACAATTAGAATCGGGTGTGACATTCCACAAAATAATCATCATGATGGCGGTTTCTATAAATAAAGTTACAGAGTCAGAAACGATATTTACAACAAATCTAGCGTATTACAATACTGATATTAATCCAGGATAATAAAATTAGAATCATAAGATCATGCTCTTCTCGATATGTAAGTACAGTGAATCATAATAAGAAATTGAACCGTTTATACGATCTACAAATCATAGTATCAAATCAATGTACAGGGTAACATGAAATCTATATAAAACGATCTGCATCATTGTCACAATCGTGACATTTTCCCCCTCTTAAAAACTTTGGTGTCCTCACCAAATTCTTAAGATAAAAAACAACAATATTTGTCAATATACATACAACACATTTCTCCATCAATAATAAATTAACATTAAAAAATGTACACTAGACAAAGTCATACATAATTTCCTCAGTTTCCCAATCCTAACATACTTCAATTGTTAGAAATTTTTCTTTTAATATACAACAATAAAAACAAAATTTAAAAAATGCATATACCTAAACTCTGACCATACTTACACCACATTCTAACTAAATTTCTTTACTGAAGACTTCAACGCTGGTCTGCTAGCCATTGTCAAAGGTCTTGTACGCGGATTTTCCATCACCATCTTGAATCCGATTCACTTTTGTGAAAGGTATTTTACAGCCATTCATGGCAATGAAACTGTCATTCAAATTGATAACTGCAGGCCCAAATTGACTGTCCAACAAGATGTCCATACCTAAGAGGCATTCATCTTCTATTCCGGCAACAATTATTTCCCTTTGAAATGCTAGATTTCCTAACTGCACTGCAAATTCAGCCTTCCCTAAAACCTTAAGTGGATCTCCATTGACCGCTACAAGGCTTGAAGATTCCTTTAACTCTGGTCTTCTGTTCCCGGGGAGTCTCCAAAATATTTTGTCGGATAATATAGTTCTTGCAGCCCCCGTGTCTGCTGTGAACTCCACTTTTATCCCTTGAATCGTTCCCTGAACGTAAATTCCATCTGCCTTGAGGAGCTGTCTCCTAATGTACTCCCTCTGAGCACTCAGTTCCTCTTCCCTTGAAACGTCCCTGACGCAAGGCTGGAATTTCCCCTGGTTTTCAATTTTCTCCCCTGATTCATCTAAATTTCCACTTAAAATAGGTTCAGTTAAAATTTTACAGTCATTTTGGCCTTTGTCACTTTGGGTCGTCTCTTGGCCTCCGGAGCTGACCCTTTCTAGTTTAAAAGTTTCTCTTGTTTGTCTCCGCAATCGTTATCCAAGTCTACATTCCATCTAGATTGATGACTTGGTTGAAATTCTGGTGCTTCACTGCCTTCAGGTGACATGGTACTTGTAGCTTGGCTTTGGTTCGTCTTTGGCTGATTATTTTCACTTGGTAAAAATGACATAGTTTCCTCTTGATGTTTCTTGTACTGTGACCTCTGTGTCCTGTGAAAATTTCTATTCAGGCACTCTCGGGCAAAATGTCCGGGCATGTAGCAAATGAAGCAATTCCCCTTTGTCTTCTTCACGGAATTTGTATTTCCCTTCACAGTATAGTGATCGTCTCCCTTTCCATAAGGCTTAGCCTGTCTAATAGGGCGTCTCTCTTCATTTGTGTTCATATTGGAGGTGACTAACATGTAAGCAGCTACCTGCTGTACTGCCTCTTCAATTGTTGATGGTTCTTTGTGTAATTCAATGTACTGCCGTGCCTTTGAATCCCATAAACCTTGCAAAAATTTTGAAATCAGGTCTTCCTGTCTGGTGCTGGCATCTCTACTTGGGTGAGCCCAGTCATAAAGATGCTTAATGTCAGCAGCATACTCTTCAAGACTTTCATCTTTTCTTTGCCTTTTGTTGTTGAATTGAGTTTTGTACACTCTCTTATTTTCCAGTGTTCCAAATCTGGATCCTATTTCTGCGACTAAGGTCTCATAGTTCCCTATAGTCTCCTTCTTCAGCTGACCAAAAACAAAATCAGCTGCAATTCCCTGTATTCTTGGTAATATCTATTGTAACTTCTCTTTAGCAGTCCACTCGGCCAACTCGGCTACAGACTCGAAGCGATTCAGCCAAACTCTCCATTTCTCGGAACCTGTGTAAGGCGGAAGCTTACAGTCAAGCTTGTGGCTATCTGACTTCTTCGACTCGAACAAATCCCTTGTGGCAATTGAATTGACAGATTGCTCCTTTTCAGACTGTTCTGAATCTTCATTTGATTCCTCATGATTGCTTTCCTTGGTTTCTGTCTCTGACTTGTTATTGTTTGAGTTGATTCTTGATATTTTAGGTTTCAGCTTGCTGTTTGTAGTATGGCTGTTCACTTGTCCGAGATTTCGGGTAGTCACTTCCATCATATTCTGCATGGCTTTCATTGTCTGGTCGCTTACTTGTCTGAGAGTCTGAGTAGTTGCTTCCATCATATTCTGCATGGCTTTCATTGTCTGGGTCATCTGTTCCATCATTAGCTTCATAGGGTCTATAAGAGAATTATTCTGTGATGACTGTATAACTGGTTCTGACAGTTCTGTGTCTGTAGGGATTA